CTACATTTTTTTTTTAGTTTGATGACCTTAATGTCAGAGGTTTATATCTGAAGAAAAACATTGATTGACTTTTAAAAAAACTGAATTACATTATATTCATAATGTTTTTAGATCAAATCTATATTTTCTTTTTCAACATGTATATAAACATACCCATGAACAGATGAGATGTATGTTTCATAGAAATTACTTATATTTTCAGTGTCTCCATATCAGGAATTACTTTCAGGAACTCCCGTTTTTCCAATATTGTCAAGTGATTTCTTGTCATATTTTTAATTTTATTTTCTGGAACTGCTATTTACCAACATTTTTAATTTTTGGAGAATTTTATTTTATCTCAGCATTTATTTTCAGTGACTATTATCTTGTAGACATTAATAGATTTATTTTCAGTTGCTTCTATTTAGATCAACATTTAGTATAATTTTTCTTTTCCAGCGATTCCTATCTATTCAACATTTATTACATCATTTCAACTAACTAGTAGAGAGTTTGTTCCAGAGCTGTATAATAAATCTTCTAGTGAATATATTGAATTATCACAATCTGTTAAAACTAATGTAAGTATATATGTTGTGATGTGTTCTATTGAAATTGCTATCTATTTAGACATATTTTAGCTGTAACCTGTCAAAACACACTATGTGAAATATTAAAGTCACTTTGTATCCATTTTCTATAGTATTAGAATTAACAGGCAGTGAGCACATTTACACTCCTGAAGAATCAGCTAATGTAAATCTTAAGTATTGTTTTAAAATAGCTGTATTTGAATTCAAGACCTTTTGCACTCCAGGTGAGCAATCTACAACATGCAGTTGAAATTGTTTTGTTCAATTTTAGTGTTGAATCCAATACCAAAAGCAGGTCATTTCTGACCTATATTTCATATTTGATAGACAAATTTTTCCAAAATCTGTGGTGAAGTATTGCATTGATAAGTTTATATATAAGTTACCACATGATCATAAAAAATGTATACCTAAGTACAGTAACATAGGACATAATATCATATAATGTGTAACGGCTTTTTTTCACCAGACTCACATGCTTATATATTTAATGTGCTAGCTTACAAAGTTACAAGTTAGTAAGAAAACTTCATGCTTGAGAACTCTTACGATAAGGCCAGGATCCAATGTAAACTATGTCAATTTAAACTTCTTTAAAAAATAAGGAGATGTGGTATGATTGCCAATGAAACAACTATCTACCAAAGTTCAAATGAAGTGGATCTAAGAAATTATAGGCAACTGAATGGCCTTCAACAGTGAGAAAAACCCATATCGTATAATCGTCTATAAAAGGCCCTGACATGAAAATTGTGAAACCATTCAATTGAGAAAACTAACGGCCTATACCTTTACATCCTTTACAACAAGTTAAGTTTTGAGTAGTTGTGTTAAAATAAAGTATTTTAAAGACATGAAATATAATAACCATGGCCAATGTGTTGAAAATGTGTGGTATTTTACTGTTCACTCCTATTTGTTGCTATATAAGTTTTGTTTTTCATTAAATGCTGTCTCATTAACAATTTTTTCATATTTTAATGATTTATTGCAGTTGAAAAGGGAACTAAATAAAACAGCTGGCTTTGTATCTGTAGATGTGTTACAATTTAGGTGAGAATTGTAATTTAAAACTTGAAAATAGAACAAACTGTTATTGCCAGGAAAGTTTTAATAATGAATTACATAATACTATCATTTGATGTAGAAATATTATGATCACTCATAGTGTTTCATCTGCCACTGAAGGATAGAATTTGTAGGAGGACTTTAACAGTTTTATTTGCAGTTAATTGAATGCTGTTGCAAATGTTTCTTTAATAAGATATGTAGTTCACTTTGGTTGGGCTATTGATAGTCTTCAAATATATATATATCCTTAGAATATTCTAAAATGTTTTTGGTCATCATAATAAGTAACAGATATTGAATAGACCAAGATGCATTTCAGTTGACTGTATCTTTTTAACATCATAGACTGACATTGTGCTCTATGATGTTTAATGCCCCCCCCCCCCCCCCCCGTTGCGGAGGGGGCATTAAGTTTTACCCTTGTCTGTCTGTACGTATGTCCCATATGTCCCAAAATTGGTTTCCTTTCTCTAACTTTAGTTTGCCTCAACCAAATATTATGAAACTTATACATAATGCTTATTACCACAAAACACAGAGGATTTGAATTTTGGTGGCGTCACTTATACCGTTCTAGAGTTAAGCCCCTTTACAAATGGAAAAAATGCTTAATTTTTCGTTTCCGTTCTCTAAATTTAGTTTGCCTCAACCAAATGTTATGAAACTTATACACAATGCTTATAACCACAAAACACAGATCAAATTTGAATTTTGGTGGCGTCACTTTTACCGTTCTAGAGTTATGCCCCTTTACAAATGGAAAAAATGCTGAATTTTTCTTTTCCGTTCTCTCACTTTAGTTTGCCTCAACCAAATGTTATGAAACTTATACACAATGAGTATTACCACAAAACACAGGTTAAGATTGAATTTTGGTGGCGTCACTTTTACCGTTCTAGAGTTATGCCCCTTTACAAAAGGAAAAATTGCTGAATTTTTTGTTTCTGTTCTCTAACTTTAGTTTGCCTCAATCAAATGTTATGAAACTTATACACAATGCTTATTACCCCAAAACACAGATCAATGTTGAATTTTGGTAGCATCACTTTTACCATTCTAGAGTTAGGCCCTTTACAAATGGAAAAATTGCTGAATTTTTCATTTCCGTTCTCTAACTTTAGTTTGCCTCAACCAAATGTTATGAAACTTATACACAATGCTTATAACCACAAAACACAGATCAAATTTGAATTTTGGTGGCGTCACTTTTACTGTTCTAGAGTTATGCCCCTTTACAAATGGAAAAAATGCTGAATTTTTCTTTTCCGTTCTCTCACTTTAGTTTGCCTCAACCAAATGTTATGAAACTTATACACCATTAGTATTACCACAAAACACAGGTTAAGTTTGAATTTTGGTGGCGTCACTTTTACCGTTCTAGAGTTATGCCCCTTTACAAAAGGAAAAATTGCTGAATTTTTTGTTTCTGTTCTCTAACTTTAGTTTGCCTCAATCAAATGTTATGAAACTTATACACAATGCTTATTACCCCAAAACACAGATCAATGTTGAATTTTGGTAGCGTCACTTTTACCATTCTAGAGTTATGCCCTTTACAAATGGAAAAATTGCTGAATTTTTCATTTCCGTTCTCTAACTTTAGTTTGCCTCAACCAAATGTTATGAAACTGATACACAATGCTTATTACCACAAAACACAGATCAAGTTTGAATTTTGGTGGTGTCACATTTACCGTTCTAGAGTTGTGCCCCTTTACAAATTGAAAAATTCCTGAAATATTTGTTTCTGTTCTCTAACTTTAGTTTGCCTCAACCAAATGATATGAAACTTATGCACAATGCTTATCACCACAAAACTCAGATCAAGTACAAATTTAGGTAGCGTCACTTTTACAGTTCTTGAGTATATCCCTTTATAACGTTACATGCAAGCGGGCGCATCATCTGTGTCCCATGGACACATTCCCCATTTATTTTTAATTGAAATTCGTGATATTTTTATTAACAAGAAAAATGGATTATTAATACACAGCATGTTGTCATGTATCATCGCACATGCATTACCTGTCTTTTATTGCCGATTGGGTATTTTAGTTCAGCTTATATCGATTAATAACAACCAATGATATAAGGAATTCCCTACTGGCCACTCTTGACATCTCGCTCTTTAATTGCCTTGTGAGATGTGGGAAGGGAACCAATCAGAACAAGGCCCTTATTTCAAATTATCCAATTGGCAGAGATAATTAATTAATTATCATCCTTTGTGGGGCTGTTTCGAAGTGATGTGGATTAATAGAAGTAATAGATAAATGAAAATAAGGTATTAATTCCTGGTATTGAATTATGCTAAATACTTGTATCTTATATTGTACATATTATTATACCCCTGCTTTAAAAAAGTGGGGGTATACTGTTTTACCTCTGTCTGTCTGTCCATCCGTCAGTCCATCCATCCGTCAGTCCGTCCGTCCGCATCTTTCTGAGGAACTACATTACAAGGATTTCTGAAATTTGGTTTCAAGGTTTATATGAGTCAGCTATACTGTGTGATGCGTTTTCAGATTTATCACTCAACAACTTCCTGTTTATCTTTTACTTTTAGCGGGGCGGGGGTATCATTAGTGAGCAGTAGATCACAGATTCACTTGTTTTCAACAGGATTGGAAGTGTTTACGTAGACACCTTAATTACAATAAATCAGACAGGGAGTGTGCTTGGAACATCAGATGCGTTAAAATCTGCTATAGCATCAGAATCTTTGGGAGAGCTGGCAGTAGAACCATGGTCTTATTCTATAACAGAAGGAAGTAAGTACTCTATCAAGCAATTGTTAAAATAAATGTGTATTACATTTGTCCAATGAACTTAGATGGACTTTCAACTGAGCTTAAATGAACTATCAACTTAAATTAGATGAACTATCAGCTGAACTTAGAGATGAACTTTCAACTGAACTTGGATGAACTTTCAAGTCAAATACATAAATTTTGCCATGTTTATGATGTCATAGTGACATGACATCATAGTGACATTGCAAGTGACTTTTCTGCACTAAAGCGTCTATAGGTTGCACTTCTGTAAATATAGACAATGCAATTCCCCATAGGAACTCCTTTTACAACTAAAATTGTGCCACTTTTACTATGCAGTTTCATTAAAAATTATATCCTAGATTGGAAAGTCTATATGCACTTCTGTTTTTCCCAAAGGTCAAAACATAGGGCTGCAACATATTTTCAACATTTATATGCCTCAAACTTCTAAGAGTTTAAACTTGTACTAAAATTCTGTACTACTCCTCCCTCCACTTTGGGTCTTCCTCAGAATTGAATTTGGCCGCCATCCATGTGTATTTATACTGGTAACATTCCCAAGTTGTATCTCTATGAGATGAAGCATAGAGATCATTTCCAGGAACCAGAAGGTAAACAAAACAAAATATCTATGAATATTAAATTTCTCCCCAAAAGAGGCATGGTTTGTAAAACAGCTGTATTTTCAAAGTGCAACCTATATTTATATTAATCTGTTCATTTATCAATATAATTAACATAATAAGTTTATTGTTTCTGCAATTTCAGTGTCCAAATAATGGCTCTCATCATACCACCTCCTTTAATAAACGAACTCAAACTTTTTGAAGAATACTATACTCTATAATGACAATAATTATAAATTCTTTATCAGGCAGATATATCTAAGGCCAAGTACTATTCTGTATTATATGACTGACTGTTATTTATTAGATGGAAAGTTACAGGTTGGACTGACAGTCAATGGACCATTCTATGAAGATGCTACTTTAACATTTACTTGCACTGCTGATATTATTGGTTCTGTTGGTCAAATCTCAGTTACATGGACATTAAACAATTCTGTTCTTAGACCTACGAGTAGATCAAGGTGGATGATCGAGAGACTGCCACCAAATCCATTGATGCCTTTCAGGGTTGTGTATCAGATAGCAGTCGATCCATTGAAAAAAAGAGATTCAGGTAAAATTTGATTTAGACATGTACTGAATTTAACTCTCCTCATTTCTTTAGTGACCACCATATATCCTTCACATCAACACAAATATTGATAAAATCAAAAAATTTAGAATTGATATAATTTCTCTTGGGAGAAAGGATATATAGATTCTACCTCCACATCTAGTTTGAAACAATCTTTCTCATCTCAGTACAGTTAAATTTCTCAACTTTAGGTGTTTTAAATCTGACTTTTTAATGTGTAGAAATAGCATATCTCATGAGATTTGCTGTTGAATCTCTAATTCAAATGATTTTTTTTTATGATATGTAAGAATGTTTTTATGTTCTTTTTTTCAATGAACTGCAGCTGTTCTGGTAATGTGCTAACTTGGCTAAGAATATAAAAAAACCTGGAATACACCATCATTGAAAAAAGTGTATAAAAGTAGAATATACAAAACATGAATTTGCTGCATATGAAATGTAGTTATCCATTTGAGGTTTTGAAAATATTGGACTTTAACACCTTCTGTCAAATTTATGAGGGGTCTTGGTGGCATGGTAGTCTAAGTAGTTCAACAACAGTATTACTAGCCTTTCAACACTATGGTAAAGTTTAACCTTGCAAGTAGGAGCTGCTTTCAACTCAGATCTCAGTTGACTAGGATTACCAGGGCACTTTGGCTGGTGACCACAATTGAGCCAAGAGTGCTGAAACAACCAGTAAATCAATTAAATTTTGAAAGATAAGAAATACACTAAATACAAAAATTAAGATGAGTAAACTATTCCAGCTATGTGGTTGAATCTATCTTCACTTAAACACAGTTTATAAGTAAAGTTTATCAGTCAAGACAAAATCAGCATTATCATTTTTGTAATAGTTTTTAAAAAATCAAGGTTTGGTATATTGACTTTGTATAAAAAAAAATACATTGATATATTACCATATTAAGTATTTAAATGTTCTATAACTCTTAAGGCAGTCTTTCCTGTAGTGTAACTGATGGGAACTTACAATCTAGCAGAAGTATTAAGATACAAGTACTTGGTAAACCAACAGTATCTATCTTTCCACTGACAGCAGCTGTTAAACAAGGGGAGACAATTACTGTACAGTGTACCATTACAAGTAATCCTACTGAAGTGAGAGATATACAGTGGTATAGAAATGGATATATGTTTGATGGAAGTCAAGGTGAGATTTTGATTTCTAGTGTTTTAGTTTTTATGGGTCCATAAATTCAATGATTTATTGGTATTTTCTAATATCAATTTTGATCTTTCTGTGTGGTGATTTTCCATCTGAAGCTACTCAACAGAGATGGATTTTTCTCAGTCAAGTATAAAAAGTTTACAATGATGTCATAAGTCCAGTGTCACTTACTTTGCTTAGGCAAGCAAAATAAACAGATTTTCCATGGTCTTTCAAACTGGAGGAAGTTTTTTTTCTTCAGAACCTTGCACTTTAATGTGATTGTAGCTGGGAAACAAAGGTTTTCAGAACCATTGACTATCTTTTAATTATTTGGGAATTTAATATAAAATCTTTGTCACCAAAAACTGTAGCAGAACAAGGGACAAGATGGCAGATCTTTTCAGAGTTAACTGATTGTGTAAAGCTTTTCAGATGTTTTAGAAAGGAGGACGTGTAATGTTTTTAAGAGCAACTATCCTTTGCCACGAAAGGTATACAAAATAATGTGTCTAAAACAAAATTTATTTTGTTTACATTGTAGTACATTATTAAATAATCATCTGGTTTGAAATAATGGTCCATCATTTGTTTTTATTTAAGATGAAGTCATTGAAGCAGTACTTGAAAGAACTAGTGAGAGACTGTTTAACAGAAATATTCAAAGGAGTGTTTTCTATGAATGTGTTGGTAGAAATGAAGCAGGAGATGGACCAAAAGTTATGTCTAATTTAACAGTATATGTAGATGGAGGTAAGATGGACCAAAAGTTATGTCTAATTTAACAGTGTATGTAGAGGGAGGTAAGATGGACCATCAGTGATGTCTAATTTAACAGTGTATGTAGAGGGAGGTAAGATGGACCAAAAGTGATGTCTTATTTAACAGTGTATGTAGAGGGAGGTAAGATGGACCATCAGTGATGTCTAATTTAACAGTATATGTAAAGGGAGGTAAGATGGACCAAAAGTGATGTCTAATTTAACAGTATATGTAAAGGGAGGTAAGATGGACCAAAAGTGATGTCTAATTTGACAGTGTATGTAAAGGGAGGTAAGATGGACCAAAAGTGATGTCTAATTTAACAGTATATGTAAAGGGAGGTAAGATGGACCAAAAGTGATGTCTAATTTAACAGTATATGTAAAGGGAGGTAAGATGGACCAAACGTTATGTCTAATTTAACAGTATATATAAAGGGAGGTAAGATGGACCAAAAGTGATGTCTAATTTGACAGTGTATATAGTGGGAGGTAAGATGGACCAAAAGTGATGTCTAATTTAACAGTATATGTAAAGGGAGGTAAGATGGACCAAACGTTATGTCTAATTTAACAGTATATATAAAGGGAGGTAAGATAGACCAAAAGTGATGTCTAATTTGACAGTGTATATAGTGGGAGGTAAGATGGACCAAAAGTTAGGTATAATTTAACAGTGTATGTAAAGGGAGGTAAGATGGACCAAAAGTGATGTCTAATTTAACAGTATATGTAAAGGGAGGTAAGATGGACCAAAAGTGATGTCTAATTTAACAGTATATGTAAAGGGAGGTAAGATCGACCAAACGTTATGTCTAATTTAACAGTATATATAAAGGGAGGTTAGATGGACCAAAAGTGATGTCTAATTTGACAGTGTATATAGTGGGAGGTAAGATGGACCAAAAGTTAGGTATAATTTAACAGTGTATGTAAAGGGAGGTAAGATGGACCAAAAGTTATGTCTAATTTAACAGTGTATGTAAAGAGAGGTAAGATGGACCATCAGTGATGTCTGATTTAACAGTGTATGTAGAGGGAGGTAAGACAGACCAAAAGTTATGTCTAATTTAACAGTATATGTAAAGGGAGGTAAGATAGACCAAAAGTGATGTCTAATTTAAGGGTGTATATAAAGGGAGGTATGATGGAAAAAAAGTTATGTCTAATTTAAAAGTATATGTAAAGGGAGGTAAGATAGACCAAAAGTGATGTCTAATTTAACAGTATATGTAAAGGGAGGTAAGATAGACCAAAAGTGATGTCTAATTTAACAGTATATATAAAGGGAGGTAAGATGGACAAAAGTTATATCTAATTTAATAGTATATGTAGAGGGAGGTAAGATAGACCAAAAGTTATGTCTAATTTAACAGTATATGTAAAGGGAGGTAAGATAGACCAAAAGTGATGTCTAATTAAACAGTATATGTAAAGGGAGGTAAGACTAACTTTTTTCTCTGGATAATTGTTAATAATTTTGATAATGCATTAGCAATTTTTATAAAAGTGACCTCATGATTTTGATTATAGCATGATGAATTTTGCTCATGAAGGATTTTAGTTCAATGGCCATCGCCATCACTTGGTGCTGATCCTAAAATTTTAGTACCATAGCATGAGTAGTGTATTAGTCCTTTTTGTCATTTGTAGTCACATGTAGCAATTTTTACCATATTTTTGTGTTTTGGGCAAAAACTAGAAGATAGCAAGAAACTCTAAACAACAAAATTTACTAACAAGAAAAAAATCTACAAATAGATAGCAAGGAGGGAATTGTCAGTCCACTTCATCCAGGAGTTATTGCCCTTGAATGACCAATTTTTGGGCAAACACTGAGATACAGATCAAATGTATACAGAAAAAATTATCAGCAATTAATACAAGATTTAAGTCATTAGAATAGCAATATTATAAACCAAAAACAATATTGGTAAATTTTATTTAACAAAAAAAGAAGATAATCAAAAACAAATTCTTATCTGCTTTCTTCAGATAGAGTGATATGGAAAAATGAATGCATTTAATTTATATGCAGTTGTCCTGATTTTTATGCTGAAACTTTATTTCAAAGTGACATTGAGGCTTTCATCACCCAGCAAATTATCACACTTCACTGCCAGTTTTTAATATATCCCATAACACCAGTTTGAGTGGCATTCTTTACCATATGTTGTTCACACTAAAATATTATTTGAACAAGGTAGGTAAAAGAGTTAATGTGTATCCATGTTCTCAATGTTTTCTTATTGTAACTATTGTGGAATTCAATAATGTGATATTTTTTCTTTCATTTTAGAATCGCTCCAAATTTGCCCTGCTAATGTTGATAAATTTGGAACAAGATGGGAAGAGACCATTGATGGTATTATTGTTACAAAGTCATGCACTGGAAACCAAACAGGTATTATTGTTACAAAGTCATGCACTGGAAACCAAACAGGTAAAACACATGTATTTACAAGAGAACAACACATGCTTCATATATATATTTTACAATATAAAGAGAAAAAGGTCAACAAAAGAGTCCAATTTGTGCTGACTTACCATCCTATTGACAAGTTCTCACACATTATCCTCTAATATTGGAAAGAAATCAAAAACATCCTAAACTACTGTAAATTCAGAAATTATTGTGAGGTTTTTATTAATGCCAATAACACGACTGTATGAGTATTGCAATAATAAAAACTTGCATTCTGAATTCTGTACATATATTTGTATTTAGATTTTCCCAAAATTGTCATAATTTCGCATTTTTTGTCCATTCTTTAAAAATCACAATAATAAATGCAAGCATTAACTTCTGAATTTACAGAAACCAAGATAGATCTTCCCTGAGCCACCTAAACTGGCTTTCTGTAGGCCCAAAAAAGCCTTAAAGAATTGCTGATGAGAGATGATTTATCCTCTTAAATCAAGCTTTTCATCTTTGGGCTCTTGCAAGGGTTGTGGGAACAAACAATGTCTGACTTGCTGGTGAGAGCTGATTTATTCTCTAAATTAGGGTCTTCATCTGTGGGCTCTTGCAAGGGTTGTGGGAACAAATGATGTCTGACTTGCTGGTGAGAGCTGATTAATTCTCTAAATCGGGCTCTTCAGCTGTGGGCTTTTGCAAGGGTTTCCCTGGCCACACTAAAGCAGATCTCAGTTGACTGACTATTACCATTATAGACCACAACACTGTTTGGTCTATGGAGGAGAGAGTCACTTGGGGAAAGATTTTTGACAGGAAAGTTACAAGTGTTGGCACCAATAGCGATCAATGAAAAAATGTAGTTCTTATCATGCTGTGGTATTCACTGGGTTGTATAAATACACAGGCTCTGTTGTAACTATTTAACCTTCCTCTTCATTGAAATTTTAGAATTATACCAGTTCAGATGGAACAGTGCTATTGATTGGGGATGTATATCTATGCATTCTCTGTTGTAATTACTGAACTTTCATCACCTGTGAAATTTTAGAATTATACCGGCTTTTTTTTATTTATATAACATAAAGATTGTTTTAGTTTAATCAGAAAAGATTGATATGATCCATTTTACATCATCATGATTATACTGATGACTGAGATCTGTTATATTCTTTCCATTTTTTAAAAGTTTTTGGTGTTGTTTTGTACACTTTTTAGGCATATATATGTTTTATTTATTGTGTACAATATCGTTTCTCATAACTATCCAGTGCCATGTAAGAAGGATCATTGACTAGTATCTAGACATTTTATATATTTATGTGTGTTGAAGTTACATTCGTAGGCATTTATACAAATTAATTTAGTAACTGCAGCAGTTCATTTTCAAACTGATCCATGCCAAGATAGATTGAATGTTGATTGTTGCTATTTTCAGACTTTATATAAATATATATATCCTATATTTCAGTTTTACAAAAGAGCAAATTGAGTAAATTTTAACAGAGGAAAATGTGTAATTATCTCCTGACCAAGAAAATGGAGGCCTTGCATGGGGTTATCTAGAAAATAATAGTTTGAGCAGTAATTAAATATGTGGACATGAATAAGAGATGTGGTGTTTATGTCATTGAATGCTTTACATCACATCAATGAATGTGAATGAGAAAGCAACCTAATGTAAAAAAAAATAACCAGAATATGTCCCTAAAAAACATTAACTTTTAATTGGCATTTAAAGGGGCATTAGCTTCATGATATAGAAAAAAATAAAATATGATTTTTTTTTGTTTAATCATTATTGAAAGTGAAATAGTGATATAATTATTCGCTTTTGGCAGCCTGTTTGGTTCAGTTTTGTCAGAATAAGCAAAGAAACATCGCTAATTTCGACCTCATTAAATCCGTATTCATGTGAACTTCAATTGAACCCCTTAGCTAGAGATGAGTTACGCATGAACTAGGTGTTTTAAGCTATTAAAAAGAAAAGAATGTCAACATTGGAAGTGAAACAAGGTAAACCATTTGGTTGAATAATTCGATCTACAAAAACTCATTTTTATACAGGTAAAATTAATTATTAACATATTTTTGTCTCGCCTTGACAGAGTCAAAAAGCGAGACATAGGTATGCTGTATCTGGCGACGGCGGCGGCAGCGTCAACACTGTATTAGTTTGTGATTAGGTCTAGTTCATGGTGAACCACTAGTGGTAGGTCAATGATATTTGGTATATATGCAGTTGTATTTCATTACCATAGAGATTATTTGGCCCCGCCCCCTCAGGCAAGGTCTATTGACTTTGAAACTTTTCATAGTTTACATGTATTAGTTTGTGATTAGGTCAATTTATGGGGAACCACTAGTGGTAGGTCAATGATATTTGGTATGCAGTTGTATAAGCATTGGCATATCTCATTTCCATGGAGATTATTTGGCTCTGCCCCCTCAGTCATGGTCTATTTACTTTGAAACTTTTGCTTAGTTTACATGTATTAGTTTGTGATTAGATCAGTTTAAGATGAACTGCTAATGTTAAGTCAATGATATTTGGTATGCAAATTTATTGGCATTTGCAAGTATCGTTTCCATGGAGATTATATAGCCCACCCCTGATCATGGTTCATTGACTTTGAAACTTTTACATAGTTTACAAGTTAATGTTTGTGTTTAGGTTTGTTTAAAGGGAACGACTTATAATAAGTCAATAGCATTTGGTATGCAGTTGTATTAGCATTGGCACATCTCATTCCATGGAGATTGTTTAGCCATGTACCTTCAGTCATGGTTCATCGACTTTGAATATTTGCATAACTTGCATGTTAAAGTATTGCTATTTTAACTTCAACATTTGCATTATCAAAATTACAAAAAGGCGAGACATATCTCTGTGATAACAGTTTATTTAAACCTTTAATATGAAATCAAACAGACCTAGAAAAATCAAATTGCACGACTTCGCTATCTATTTATATCTATGTTTATGTTTATATCAGGTTATATGACCGTCGGCAGTCTTTGGAGGTCACCTCAATGGTTAATTAGATGGCCTTTAGACTAAAATACACACGAAATGCTGATACATATTATAGACCCGTGCATCGTAAATTGTTTATTTAAGACTTTTTATTATTTGGATATACGTTTTAGTTTGTTATAAATCAAATATGAGAATTTGAGTCAAATCGGTGAACATGAATTTGACAGCTAATGCCCCTTTAAATTGCTACTTTTAAAAAAAAATTTCACTCTGGAACATTCACTACCAAAAGAATTTTTTTATTTCAGACAAAAAAAGCAAAAATAAAAGTGCTGGTAAATAAAGCTACAAAAGCTATGTTTAAAGTTGTGAGAAACAGTAGAGTACATTATCTTTGGATGAATGTTCCTGAAATCTATTTGACAAGATAATAGAATCTTTTGCCTCTTACCTTTTTTGGATGCACTCGTGATATTTTTAAGAGGTCATAAAAATAAATAGTTAATTTCATGAATAAATAAGTGAATTTTGAAAGAAAAAATACATTGTATTTTTGTGATGCCATTTGTTAACAAATGCAAAAATGTTACTTGCCAAAACTAGGTATTAGGTATGCATGAATTAGAAAGGAAAATAAAAACAAAGGAATGAATGATACTGCAAATAATTTCATGATGTTTAAGAAGTAATTAATTCATGTGGTCTTGAATATATATTGATTTTACCACTGGTTGGCTCTTTATGTTAAATTTTCTACCACAAGCCATAATTACCCTTAGAAACAATGCTGTTGATAAATATAGTATGTCATTGATTTCATTTATGGGACATTTTACAGGTGAAGTGTCAAGAGTGTGTGATGAGGGTAAATGGGGAGAACCTGATTACAGTACTTGTGTTTTGAAAGAATTAGTGTCCATTGAAGAAGAGGTTAGAATTTTACATTTAAGTGACTTCTCTGCTATTACCAAGGAGTTTTTTGGTTTCTTTGTGCATATACGATGGAAGATGCAGAAATGCAAATAGATATTTTATTGAAACCTAATCAGTAATCAAAGTAATTTGAATGAAACAGGATTAGTGGGAAATAAACATTGATTCCAAAAAGACAGCTATAAAAAGGGCCCTCTGTTTAATCAATGAAGGCCTATAGTAATCAGCATGTTCATCCATCACAAATAGTTTAGGCTTTCTAACTTTCAAAACCCTTAGAGTTCTGTAATGAAAATTAAGATGATTATTCACCACTACTAGGAGGTGTGTCAAGTACAAAGAAGAAATCTGCACAGTGAAAGTCATCATCAAAAACTCAGTTTAGTCACCCTTTTACAGAGATAATAAAATCCTATCAGCTCTCTTTCTTTCAAACCCTTAGGAGTTGGATAATGAAAGTTGGTCTGATAATTTATCACAATTAGAAGGTGTGTCATGTACAAGGAAGAGAAACCAAACAGTGACAATCATGGTCAAACACTTCATTCAACTAAGTCATCCCTGTGTGTCTGTACAAAAGTCAACATTCAAGCACCTCAATTATGGGATGAACTAGTTGTGCATCAGACAGTTACTGCACTTTAGCTGTATAAGCTAATTTACTTGTTTACTCCAGTAGGATCCTATGTGATGGCCCCTATCATCATCCTGTAGTTTTTTTACCAAATTTAAATTTAAAGAAAATTTTGGCCATAAACTGTGATTCATAACAGTACAGGAATAAGTCTGCTATCAAAGGGGCACAATTGGTGCCCATATGAATACCTACAACCTGTCAATAAACTTTATTGCAGAAACATACATAAATTTTGTCAAGAAGAAAATTTACAGCTTTAATCATCTCATCACACATCAAGTAAGTATATCTAGCATATTTACCTTTCTCATTAGTGAAAAAGGTTTTATATGAGTTGCAGCAAATAAATTTGAAATCAGATAACCATCTAATTTAATAAGAAAACTTTTGTTTGATAAGAAGTGGAAGTGTTGTATAAAGAGTGGAAAAGTCAAAACTGTCGCCCTTATCAATTTCCATCAAAAGCAATTAATTTTACACTCTAGAAATAGTTAATTCCACTATTTTCATATGTTTTATTACTAAGTTAATGATAAGTTTTTTGATACCATTAGTTGTTAAGGAACTAGTTAAAAAAACTGAAAGATTAGTAGTAGAACGTTTACTAGATGTAGAGATTAAACCATATTTTACAGGTTTTAATGTTGTTTAGGTAACCAATACATTTTGGGGACCTACAAATGAGCAGGCCTTAAAGGGGCACTAGCTACAAGATATATTAAAAATATCAAATATGATTTTTTTTGTTCAATCATTAATGAAAGTGAAATAGTGAAATAATATATCACTTTTAGCAGCCAGTATGGTTCAATTTTGTCAAAATAAGCTAAGAAACATTGATGATGAATTATTCACTTGCAAGTGAATAATTCAACCTCATTGAATCCGTATTCATGTGAACTTCAATGTAACCCCTTAGCTAGAGATGGATACCGCATGCATTGTGCGTGTTCAATTATTTAAAGGAAAAGAATGTCAACATTGAAAGTGAAACAAAGGTAAATCATTTGGTTGACTGATTCGATCCACAAAAAATCATTCTTATACAGGTAAAAAACGATGATTAACATATATTTTTAATCTATAATATGAAATTAAACAGACATAGAAAAATCTAAATGCACGAGTCTGATATCTATTTATATTTATATTTATGTTTATATCGCTTATATGGCAATCGGAGGTCTTCAGGGGTCAACTCGACAGTTAATTAGATGGCGTCTGGACTAAAATACACACGAAACGAAGCTACATATTATGGAGCCCATGCTTGTATATTGTTTATTTAAGACTTTTTAGCTCACCTGGCCCAAAAGGCCAAGTGATCATTTCTCATCACTTGTCGTCCGGCGTCGTCGTCCATCGTTGTCATCGTCGTCGTTAACTTTTTACATTTTGAACTTCTTCTGGAGAACCACTGAATGGAATAAAACCAAACATGGCATGAATGTTCCTTATGAGGTGCTGACCAAGTGTTGTTACTTTGTAGCTGATCCATCATCCAAGATGGCCGCCAGCGGGGGTCTTAGTTTAACATAGGACCGTATGGACAATACATACAAATGTCTTCTTTTAGAGAACCACTGAATGGAATGAAACCAAACATGGCATGAATGTTCCTTATGAGGTGCTGACCAAGTGTTGTTACTTTGTAGCTGATCCGTCATCCAAGATGGCTGCCAGCGGGGGTCTTAGTTTAACATAGGACCGTATGGACAATACATACAAATGTCTTCCTTTAGAGAACCACTGAATGGAATGAAACCAAACATGGCATGAATGTTCTTTATGAGGTGCTGACCAAGTGTTGTTACTTTGTAGCTGATCCATCATCCAAGATGGCCGCCAGCGGGGGTCTTAGTTTAACATAGGACCGTATGGACAATACATACAAATGTCTTTCTTTAGAGAACCACTGAATGGAATGAAACCAAACATGGCATGAATGTTTAGAGTAATATTTTGAGCTTAAATGGTCCGGGACCCCCTATTTTTTTCCGAACAATTTGATTCACTCAAAGATTAAAATAACAAAAAATACGCCACTTCTGACAGAAACTTCGAATAGGCCCGAGCCACCTTAAAGACTTCCATAGTATGTTATTTGACTTTTATTGTCTCATAAGCATTACACTACATCTGTTTCTGTCTCATGTTTTTCCATTTATAAACAGGCTGACAAGTTGACAGAGGGGGTAGAAAAAGAGGTTGTTGATGACATTTTAAAGAAATTAACAAACGTCACCAAAAAAGAAAATAAATTGACATCTGGTGATCTAACTGCAGCATCAAGTGTCTTACTTAGTGTAGCTGATCATGCTAAAGAACGAGTAGAGACAGTGTCATCTGATCAGTTAGAGGTTTGTAGCATTACTAAGTGTGGCTGATCATGCTAAAGAACAAGTAGAGACAGTGTCATCTGATCAGTTGGAGGTTTGTAGCATTACTAAGTGTGGCTGATCATGCTAAAGAACAAGTAGAGACAGTGTCATCTGATCAGTTAGAGGTTTGTAGCATTACTAAGTGTGGCTGATCATGCTAAAGAACGAGTAGAGACAGTGTCTTCTGATCAGCTAGAGGTTTGTAGCATAATTAGTGTGGCTGATCATGCTAAAGAACGAGTAGAGACAGTGTCTTCTGATCAGCTGGAGGTTTGTAGCATTACTTAGTGTAGCTGATCATGCTAAAGAACGAGTAGAGACAGTGTCTTCTGATCAGCTGGAGGTTTGTAGCATTACTAAGTGTGGCTGATCATGCTAAAGAACAAATAGAGATAGTGTCTTCTGATCAGCTGGAGGTTTGTAGCATTACTTATTGTAGCTGATCATGCTAAAGAACAAATAGAGACAGTGTCTTCTGATCAGCTGGAGGTTTGTAGCATTACTAAGTGTGGCTGATCATGCTAAAGAACAAATAGAGATAGTGTCTTCTGATCAGCTGGAGGTTTGTAGCATTACTTAGTGTATCTGATCATGCTAAAGAACAAATAGAGACAGTGTCTTCTGATCAGCTGGAGGTTTGAAGCATTACTTAGTGTAGCTGATCATGCTAAAGAACGAGTAGAGACAGTGTCTTCTGATCAGCTGGAGGTTTGTAGCATTACTAAGTGTGGCTGATCATGCTAAAGAACAAATAGAGATAGTGTCTTCTGATCAGCTGGAGGTTTGTAGCATTACTTAGTGTAGCTGATCATGCTAAAGAACAAATAGAGACAGTGTCTTCTGATCAGCTGGAGGTTTGTAGCATTACTTTGTGTAGCTGATCATGCTAAAGAACAAGTAGAGACAGTGTCATCTGATCAGTTGGAGGTTTGTAGCATTACTAAGTGTGGCTGATCATGCTAAAGAACAAGTAGAGACAGTGTCATCTGATCAGTTAGAGGTTTGTAGCATTACTAAGTGTGGCTGATCATGCTAAAGAACGAGTAGAGACAGTGTCTTCTGATCAGCTAGAGGTTTGTAGCATAATTAGTGTGGCTGATCATGCTAAAGAACGAGTAGAGACAGTGTCTTCTGATCAGCTGGAGGTTTGTAGCATTACTTAGTGTAGCTGATCATGCTAAAGAACGAGTAGAGACAGTGTCTTCTGATCAGCTAGAGGTTTGTAGCATTACTAAGTGTGGCTGATCATGCTAAAGAACAAATAGAGATAGTGTCTTCTGATCAGCTGGAGGTTTGTAGCATTACTTAGTGTAGCTGATCATGCTAAAGAACAAATAGAGACAGTGTCTTCTGATCAGCTGGAGGTTTGTAGCATTACTTAGTGTAGCTGATCATGCTAAAGAACGAGTAGAGACAGTGTCATTTGATCAGTTAGAAGTTTGTAGCATTACTAAGTGTGGCTGATCATGCTAAAGAACGAGTAGAGACAGTGTCTTCTGATCAGTATGGCTGATCATTTTAAAACACAGGAAGAAACATTGTCTTCTTGTCAGCTTGCAACACAGGGGACATACAAATACTGGTTGTCCATCTGTCCGTCCTGTTGTGTAAATGCTCTCATGTATACAATTCTTGCCAGATTTTTATAAATTTTACATCATAAGTTTATTGAAACAGAGTGCTCCTTTCATAGAATCTTCCATAACATATATTTTTAATGGAATGATTGATACAGGTATTTATCCATGTGTTTAAAAAAATGCCAGGTAGCTCCTATTTTCAAATGAGGTGAAAAAAATTAAGCTAACAATTACAGACCAATATCTGTTCTGCCAACATTAATTGAGAGACATGTATCTAAACATCTGTATGATTATTTAACTAAGTTTCAAATTTTACACCCTTCCCAGTCTGGTTTTAGACCTAACCATTCATGTCAAACTGTCCTCATTAATATCATTGAAAAAATTGGCTACATGAAATGAATAATGGAAATAATATTGAGAATAATATTCTCCAAAAATCATCAATTGAAAAACTTTTAGGTGTTAGAATTGACTCTAATCTGTTATGGACAGGCCATGTTAATTACTTATGTTCATCAATATCATCTAGTCTTCATTTACTCTCTAAGATCAAGAAATTTCAAAATAATTTGATTCAAGGAATTTTTTTTATAATGGTTATATTCTCCCACTGATAGATTATTGTTTTATTATTTGGAGTGGTTGTGCTAAAAATGAGCTAGTAAGAATAATAAAATTGCAGAAAAGGGCTGCAAGATTAACTTTAGATGCTGATCCACTTTCAGCATCAGCACCTCTGTTTAAACAGTTTGATTGGATGACAGTAGAGAATAGAATCTCATACCATCAATCTGTTTTGATGCAGAAATGCCTTAAGAATGAAGCCCCTGTATATTTAACTGAAAAATTTAAAGAAATGCCAGAAATAAATCAATATTGTTGGAGGAATACATCTTGCAAAAAAATGCAAGTCCCAAAAGCCAAAACAGAGCTGTATAAGAAATCTTTTATATATTCAGGATCTGTTTTATGGAATAACTTTATACAAATATCCCTGAAAAAATCTACCTCAAGTACAAGCTTATTAAAAAAAAATGTAAAAAATTTATTTTTGGAACATTAAGAAGCTGTGTAATTTTATGTGCATAATAATTTTTCACAAACTTACCTAAACTTTAAATATTGTTGAGGTAATTTGAATGATGCCAATACTATATGAATTCATCCTTTTTACCTGTTTTGAAAATTGTATATTTCATAACTTGTTTGATTATTTTGTAATTCTTTGTTTGTTATATTTCAGTGTGTTTCATGAGAGCCTCAGGGAAGATTAGTTTTATAGCTAACTGTGTAACCCTCTTTAAAAAAATTATTAATATTATTATTATTATTATTATTATTATTATTATTATATCAGCAGTGTCTTGAACAAGTTTGAAAATAAGTGCAGTTCAACAATTTTAATCTAAGTACTGAAGTACTGAACATCGGATGACCGCAAGTTCTGGTGGATAGTCACAGGCACTTTTCTCAGAAAAAATAAAATATCTCTATATCTGAATGTTAGGTTAAGGTACATAGATTTTTTTTTGTGAGACAAGTTCCTGTGTGGATGATGAATGAATGACAGAGAATTCAACCTAACAATAATAATTATTATATTGTAGTATGTGATATAATCATGGGACAATCTTTGTTATCAGTATAATCTGGTTTGTTGTTATATATTATATTAATATTTGTACAACAGTTATATATATAGCAGATCATCTTAATAACTCTACCGGCAAATTTTCATCCATTTATACCAACATTCTATTTTACTATTCTAATAATAGTGCAGTGCAAGTACATGGTGGACACTCTTCTGTAATAATTCGTTTTTCTAATAGGTTTTATTTGAGTAGGCATTCATATTTCTCCCGCTAATGAATATGTATTGATGAAATTAATATATAACAAGTGATAAGAGATATTCATCTGCAAACACAATTTTTCAATACGTGTGCATAGATATTAATTGGTTTTTTTACTTATATATATATATATATTTCTCACGACAAAACATTTTCATATTATTTATTATGTTCTTAAAAAATATTTTCATGAGTATTCATTGAAGAAATGAATTTATAACATGCGATAAGGAATGTATTTTGGCACTCTATAATATCCACGTATTTATACAAAATACGTTCGGTTATCATTCATAAATGCAAGTCACGTGGGTAGAAATGTCTGCGGCAACATAACACAGGAATGCCCTCAAGGTCATCCGCTGTAAAAATGGTTATTCCCCTTGCAAGTATTAATTATATGGAAAATTGCATTGTTAGCTGTCTCATGTGCATAATTCTTGCCAGATTGTTATGAAAATTATATCATAGGTTTCTATTAGCAATGTCTCGGACAAGTAAGAAAATCAGTGCCGATCAACTGTTTTGAAAAGAGTTATGCCCTTTGGAAATATTAAATTATAGAGAAAATTTCATTGCATTTGCTCTCAAGCCTTTATTTTTCTAAAATATTTATAAAAAGAATTAAAAGAACAAAAAAAAATATTTTTTAGTTATTGCCCTTTTATTATTCTTTTATTAGGACTTTGTTGTAGCTCTGAATTGTTAATCTTGTTTGTAGGACTTTGCTGTAGCTCTGAATAGTAACCTTGTATGTAGGACTTTGCTGTAGCTCTGAATAGTAACCTTTTTTGTAGGACTTTGTTGTAGCTCTGAATTGTTAATCTTGTTTATAGAACTTTGTTAAAGCTTTGAATTGTTAATCTTATAAGAGGACTTTTTTGTAGCTCTGAATTAGCAATTGTTTGTTGCTGTAGCTCTGTTAATCTTATTTGTTGTTGTTGTAGCTCTGAAATGTTAATCTTATACGTGGACTTTGTTGTAGCTCTGTTAATCTTGTTTGTGATTGTAGCTCTGTTAATCTTGTTTGTGATTGTAGCTCTGTTAATTTTGTTTGTTTGCTGTAGCTTTGTTATTAAATCTTATTTGTTGTTGTAGCTCTGAAATGTTAATTCTTATATGTTGACTTCGTTGTAGCTATGAATTGTTAATCTTGTTTGTTGCTGTAGCTCTGTTAATCTTATTTGTTGTTGTAGCTATGAATTGTTAATCTTATAAGAGGACTTTTTTGTAGCTCTGAATTGTTAATTTTATTTGAAGACTTTGTTGTAGCTCTGTTAATCTTGTTTGTTGCTGTAGCTCTGTTAATCTTATTTGTTGTTGTTGTAGCTCTGAAATGTTAATCTTATATGTGGACTTTGTTGTAGCTCTGTTAATCTTGTTTGTGATTGTAGCTCTGTTAATCTGGTTTGTGATTGTAGCTCTGTTAATCTTGTTTGTGATTGTAGCTCTGTTAATCTTGTTTCTTTGCTGTAGCTCTGTTAATCTTATTTGTTGTTGTAGCTCTGAAATGTTAATTCTTATATGTTGACTTTGTTGTAGCTATGAATGGTTTATCTTGTTTGTTGCTGTAGCTCTGTTAATCTTATTTGTTGTTGTAGCTCTGAAATGTTAATCTTATATGTGGACTTTGCTCTAGCTCTGTTAATCTTGTTTGTTGTTGTAGCTATGTTAATTTTATTTGTTGTTGTAGGTCTGAAATGTTAATTCTTATATATGGACTTTGATCTAGCTCTGAATTGTTAATCTTTTTGAGAACTTTGTTGTAGCTATGAATTGTTAAGCTTGTTTGATGTTGTAGCTCTGTTAATCTTTTTTGTTGTTGTAGCTCTGAAATGTTAATCTTATATGTGGACTTTGTTGTAGCTCTGAAATGTTAATCTTTTTTAAGGACTTTGTTGTAGCTCTGAATTGTTAATCTTATTTTTGGACTTTGTAGCTTTGAATTATTAATCTTGTTTGTTGTTGTAGCTCTGTTAATATTGTTTGTTGTTGTAGAGCCCTTAATTGTTAATCATATTTGTAGGACTTTGTTGAAGCTACTAATAATATCTTATATGATGAAAAGAAGGAAGATTGGAATCAATTAAAAACCAAACAGGTAATTGTTTTACTTATTGCAAGCCCTTTTTGAGCTTTTGTCATTGCAAATATTGACATAAGACTCGACATACTTTTATATTCATGATAACTTCTTCTTTTTGTGACTTTGACCTTTTACATCAAGGTTAAAGTACATGATTTTTTTTAACATTAGCCTGTCCCCAATAAAATGTTTTTTATCCTTTAAGGGAGTACACCTAAGGAAGTTAACTCTTTAAAATTCAGCTGAATGTTTTAATAACATACTATTAGTAAAGAGACATCATGCTTCTCAATGATCAAAATTAGTGTTTGTCAAACTTCTATATATATCCAACGGAATTATTCCTGTAAATTGTGTGGTTCAAATTCCTTGAATTTCTTATGCTTTTGTCAACAGGTCAGAGAAAATGTTTTGTCAATATTTTATGAAAATTAAAAGAGCCAAATCTATTTTAGTCAAAGTGTTGGGTACCCCTTAATATAAGCTTTTGATGCATGGCACATGGGTGCAGCCCCTCAAGACTATAAGCCACATACCATGGTATGGGACCCTGACCTCTGACCTTCAAAGTCAAATAATTGATTTTTTTGAAGGGAGACATTAATTTCAGTCCAATAAAACAGTTCCACCTAGTTCTAGAATGTAGTGATATTTTACTTTATTCAAAAGGCTTTTAGACTTAGGCAATTTGGAGCTTGACATAGCATATAAACTCTTGTTTATTACTAACCTTTCTGTCTCAGTTATGTAACCCCCAATCTGATTTATATATATGTAGGACTCAAATCTATGGTGGGTTCCAAATCTATGGCAGACTCCTAATCTATGGCAAATGTGACGTTACAAACGTCAAACAAAACAAATCTATGGCAGATTTTTGTTTTCTCCAAATCTATGGCAGATTTTAAAATTGAGTAATTTTCTGGGAAAAAGAGTAACATATAACGCCACAATTGAATAATGCCATATTACAACGTCGCCGCCGCTAAGGATGGCGTAACCCAGAGATTTGAACACAACAACACTTCAACAATTTGCGGATGGTTTAAATGAAGATGTGACCTATTATCCGAAAGAAGGGCAAAATGTGCTGTACCGGCCGAATCTCGCGATGAATAAGGGCACAGCTGTTTTACCGGTACCGAATATTTAAAAAATATTTTACCGTCTACGGCTGCCAAAGTTTATGAAGTGAAAGATAAAATTACCGGATACCAATTTGATTTAAATCGTCCTCAAATAAAAAAGATGTATTAACGATGACAGAAATATTATGTGAAAATTCAAACTGTTTATCTTTATTTTAGTTTTTTTATTAAAAAAATGCCCTCTTGTTTGTTAAGGGACTTACTAGTTGGTTTAATAAATGGGTTAAACAGGTACCATTATTTCAATCTTGAAGTCCGTATTAAGGTATATGAATTCATGATTTAAGAAATTGTTTTGATTGCCATCACGATTTGGTTGAACATTATGGAATATTTATTTCACAACTGTTTATATACATGCTCAAATTGTTGTACATTTCAACTTGTTTAAGACAAGTAATTAGTCGTATATGGACTACATTGTTTGTCATTTGCCAAAAAATTTGCCATAGATTTGGAAACAACAAAAATCCACCATAGATTAGGAAATTACAAATCTTGCCATAGATTAGGATTGTAAATAATCTGCCATAGATTTGGGATGGGATGACGTCACATTTCCAATAGATTAGGAATCTGCCATAGATTTGGAACCCACCATAGATTTGAGTCCTTCATATATATAAAGGATGGCCTTTAAGATACATTTGAATTGGGTTTTCTGAAGGAAAAATCCAGTTTAATTTGGTGAAGTACGGTGGAGGGGGGGCAGCTGCCGACAGTTTCCATTGAATAACATATGAACCGTTCAACCAATGCTTTTCAAATTTTAATATGTTGTTACTGATGACAAAATTGGAGTCAAGTTTAATACAGACGAATTTTACTTTTACCATTCAGGAGTTATTGCCCTTAATATGTTGGAAAATGACACTTTATGTAGTTTAAATTCTGAACCATTCAACCAATACTTTTCAAATTTTAATATGTTGTTACTGATGACAAAATTGGAGTCAAGTATAATAAAGACGAATTTTACTTTTACCATTCAGGAGTTATTGCCCTTAATATGTTGGAAAATGACACATTATGTAGTTTAAATTCTGAACCATTCAACCAATACTTTTCAAATTTTAATATGTTGTTACTGATGACAAAATTGGAGTCAAGTATAATAAAGACGAATTTTACTTTTACCATTCAGGAGTTATTGCCCTTAATATGTTGGAAAATGACACTGTATGTTGTTTAAATTCTGAACCATTCAACCAATACTTTTCAAATTTTAATATTTTTTTCTGATGACAAAATAGAGGTTAATTTCAAATTGATAATTTCCAATTTTGCAGTTCAAGAGTTATGGGGTTTGATAGATTGGAAAATAGACACAGGACGTGGCAGGCTAACAAGTCTGAAACAGCTTTCAAAATACAGAAAACCTGGTTTGCTGTCAATTTGACGGCTCATTTCTTATTCTTTGTTCATCTAACCAATATCAAATAACAACATGTAACTTCATACAGAAATATAGTTATTGTTGGATTATTAAGTTTTCTTTATTTTAAATAAACACCTGTATAATTTTTATGCCCCTGCTGTAGGCAACAGGGGTATTAAGTGTTACCCTTGACCATCCATCCTTCCTTCCATCCCATTTTCATTTCCGCACTCTAACTTAAGTTTGCCTCATCCAAATTTTATAAAACTTATACACAATGCTAAGAATCAAAAGTTGCAGACAGAGTTCGAATTTGGGCAGCAAGTCACTTGCCCTTCTAGAGTTATGCCCCTTTTTAACTTTGATTCTTAAAATTGCAAAGCTTGAGTGGAGGAATTCGTGTCCTCAGACACATTCTTCTTTTATTTAGAAATGAACCTGCATATGAAAATGTAATAGTTATTATTGTAAGATGTATATCCATTTATTGCAGTCAACTGGTGTAACCACAGTGCTAAAAGCTATTCAAAATTATAATGATGCATATTCTCAAAGTCAGGATAAACAGTTTAAAACAATTATACAGAAGGATAATTTAGGTGAGAATTTAATTATTTCTTCCTTCTTAAAGCATACAAAATGATTGTTTCCCTGTCAATCTGTTGGGAGTACATGTTTGTCAACTTCATTTTTCATTAAGACAGGTGTTGTACAGTGACCAAAAAACAATTTTATGAACAAAAGTATTACCCCATGTCACTCACAGTCCTGGACACCAATTAATTTTGGAAACCATTTTTTTTTGCAAAAAAGGTGTATTTAGAATGCCAGAAATTCTGGCATTGATATTGTTGATAAATAGTTCTTATAAACCAGATTACACAATTTAATCAAGTTCTTATTGACAGTTTGAATATGTATTTATCTATTGTAGTTGTGGAGATAGGGAAGGTACAGAATGAAGATATTACTTTTCCTGATAGAACACAATCACAGCCATCGTGGATAGCTAAATCTAAAACCACAATCAAATTACAACAGTCTTCATTAACAGGTATGTTAGATAAGCCTTAGTGAAAAGTAAAATTTTAAAAATACCCAACTCCAAGGAAAATTTAAAACAGAAAGTCCTTTTTCACATGGCAGAATTAAAAGCTCAAACACATCAAACAAACGAAAAACAACTGTCATATTCCTGACCTGGTACAGCCATTTCCTTATGTAGAAAATGGTGGATTAAACCTGGTTTTATAGCTAGCTAAACCTCTCACTTGTATGACAGTCGGATAGAATTCTATTATATTGACAACAATAGTGACTCACTAAGACTATACAATTTATTGGTTGGTTGAGGATATTTGAGTGTCCACCATAGTCCATGAATTTTTGATGAGTCAATAACCATCTTTGTCATATACCATATGATGAATTGAACTGTATCATATTTGTCACCAAAACATTTTGATTGGTTAAAAACTCTCTTTAATAATGAAAATTCAACCAATGGCATGGCATGATATCATTTTCTTTTTATTGTACGAACAATGATATTAGTCTAAGTCCTGTAGATTCTAAAATGGCGAATTAGCAATTTGAATCTTCTAATCCTATAATGGCAGACAGCTCTATGAATAATAATTTATTCTAAGGAATTTATTGAATTTAAATTTTCATTTTTTTTTAGGTAATCAACCATTGGGATTTGGAACTGCTTATTACAGAAACATATCAGATCTTTTCCCTCCTAATTTGTTGAAAAACAGGTATGTACAACAACAGCTTGTCAGTTCATACTATTGTAAACATTGTTCACTGGTGCATGAAGCCATATTGTGTCCGCCTGTCAATTTACCATTTCAAAATTATCTCTGAAGCTACATCAATTTGAATCCAACTTGGAAATGATAAAATATTGATGGTCTTTTATAAAAAGTTTCATTTTGATTTGATGAAAAACATGGCTTCTGGATGCAATATTTTGATATATCTAGCTAATTTTAATACTTCTTATCTTATCTGTTTCTGTACTTCAGAAAAACTTTTCTGTGCATAAAATTTATAAAGTGTTATTTTCTGAAGCTACTGTATTACCTTGGGAAGCTGAATTACAAAGTACTTTTGTGGTATACAAGTTATGGAAAAATGATTCATACATTCATGAAAATTCAACCACAAATATTAAAATGTATCAGCTTGTAAATAAGCCATTGAACATATCCAAGTTTAGGATATTGGCAGATGAATTGAAGAAAATGCTGCCATTACCTACTACCTGACATGAATTGTACATATTGACCCAGTTGGATGGAAAAAAAAAAAGGTTTCCAGAGACAATCTTATGATTGGCTAATTTTCTTTCCATATTTAAAAGCTACAAGGCCATAGTTATAAAACCTCTTTGAATTGAGGTTAACAAACTATCCATTTTTTAATGTTGAATGGGTGGTGAATATGGCAGTAATGGTGGCATATTAAAGATCGATTCTGGCTCTTTAGAGGCTCTTGTTTCCCAGGGACAGAAATGAAAGAATTCTTTTGAAAAAGCATATTTATGAGTTAATTAAGGATTTATCAAGGGTCTTGGAGAAGAAATGACTTGTCCAGTAGGAAATGCTTAATATAAACAGTTATATTTGGGAGTTCTGAAAAGAAAAGTTAAATATCAAAGTGATTATTTCAAACTATTCCAATGTTTTGATTTCCTAACCTTGCTACAGGCATAGATAATTTTCAAGTATTTCAATAAGCAAAATTTTACATTGCATAATATAAATGGATAACTTATATGATTTCTTTCTTTCAGTGAAGTACAGGACATTGAAGGCAGCATGGAAGTGAATTCTGATGTGGTGGATTTTTCTATTTCTCCTCCTCTACCTTATATCAATCCACCTCTTGTTATTCAATTTCAGTATTTGGATGTAAGTTAATTGTATATATGAACGGATGATCATTATATTATTAGAAACGATTTCTTCGAAGACATATATTGTTTATAAATTAGTGTATGGTTTTGCTTTCATTTTTCCTCCTGATTATCATAATGCATTCATTTTATTATAATGACTTCATTGCATTGTTGAAACCTTCAAAAAAAGATCAAGGTGATGAACAACAAGAAAGGGTCATTCCTTGTATCTAGGGCACTGGACACGGTGCAAGCTGTGTTGCCACAATGTCACAGAAGCAAGGGTTCGAGTCCCGCTGAGGGAAGAACAAAAATTTGTAAACGTAAATTTGAAGATCTATCATTGTTGGGCTAAATTTGAGACGAATTATATATATATTATGGTGTTAGCCCTGTATAAATAATTATTTCTGTGGCTGTATCTTACAATCCTTTACGATAGACATTTAGCTAATCTGCAATCAATTCCATCTTCATGCCTAATATATCATGTACTGTGTTACAACTCTAGATTCTACTGAATAGGAAATGTAACACTAGGCCACCGAAAGCTGAATTATTAGTTCAGTCTAGGTGGCCGATTGGTCTAGAGCGCTGAACACAGTGCAGGCGGTGTCTCGATATCCCAATAGCATGATTTCGAATCCCGGCGAGGAAAGAACAAAAATTTTCTTCCGCAAATTTGCAGATTTAACATTGTTGTGCTGATATTTAGAGTAATTATATGTAAATATATATAAACTTTGCAGATTTAACATTGTTGTGCTGATATTTAGAGTAATTATATGTAAATATATATAAACTTTTTATTTCTTAGTACTTCAATGGGTATTTGTGTCATGATAAAAACCTTACATATTCTTACTTTTTCAATAGCATTTTCTGATAATTTGAGTAGAAATAACATGAAATGTAGGGTAAACGTAAATGAGATAAAAGACAGTTTTCTACGATAGACAGGTGTCAATTCAATATGTCAATCTTCAAATATTTCCCTGAGTGAAAAAAAAAAGTTTTGGATTAATTTAATAGTGACTATCAGAGAGATCTCTTTAACATCAAACTTTCCAAATGTAAAAAAATATTAAGGTATGACAAAAGATAACAACTTAAGAAAGCAAATGTCTGTTTACAGTCAACCAGCTATAAAGGTCACCTCTATTAAGTAAAAACCTGTCTTGGCTGGTCACCATCTTCTTGTCCAACTGAAGTAATACCTATGAATTTGGAACCTCAACGCAAAAGTCACCTCCCTTATAAGGGCAATTTTCTCTGGTCCTGGACTTTTCAATAATGTTTTGGTATGTGATTAATGCAATGTTTTCTATTTTTAGACTGAATTAACTAAACCTGTATGTGGATTCTGGGATTATAATGCACAGTAAGTCTGTATTTAAAACTGATTTAATGGTGGTTGCTTTAAAAGGGGAGTAGTCTGTTACTCTTGATCAGGTCACAAATTCAAGTACAGGTCATGGCTTAATCTCTTAAGACCTTATGAAACGTACAACACTTGACAGATGTATTTAACAATGCCTGCATCAGTACTCAGATGGCAGGTTCAATGTAAAGGTCATGGCTTTATCTCTTAAGACCCTATGAAATGTACACCACTTGACAAATGTATTTAACAATGCCTGCATCAGTACTCAGATGGCAGGTTCACTGTAAAAAATCCAGGTTTTTCTTAATAAATTAAATTTGTCAACTTCAACTTATTCTTACTAAATCTAATATTGAATTTGATCTTCATCATTTTCTTCTATGGTAGTAAAATTCCATAAATTATATTTGGCATTGTTCAAGATTATGAACTCCTGCACTGTCTATGACATTGCTAAAATGGTTAAATCTAGAGTTATAACTGAGCAGTAAAGAATCCAACGGTGTTTTTGTTAGTTTTCAAAACTTTCGATAGAGTTGCATTTTGCATACACCTTATCGCTATTTAGTCCAATCCATAAAAAAAGGCAACAGTAGTATACCGCTGTTCGAAATTCATAAATCAATTGAAAAAAAAATAAATCCGTGTTACAAACTAAAACTGAGGGAAACACATCAAATATAAGAGAACTACGACACAACAGAAACACAACATTAAAATGTAACACACACAGAAACAAACTATAATATAACAATGGCCATTTTCCTGACTTGGTACAGGACATTTTAAGAAAATATGGTGGGTTGAACCTGGTTTTGTGGCTAGCCAAACCTCCCGCTTTTATGGCAATGTTAAATATAACATTAAAATGACAACATTACATGACAGGACTACAATACAAATAAATGGGAGAACATATAGGACAGAGAAACATACGAATAATAGCTAACAAAAGGTACCAGGTCTAAAATTCAATACGCAAGACGCGCGTCTCGTCCACACAAGACTAACCAGTGATGCCCAGATCAAAAAAGTAAGAAAGCCAAAACAAGTACAAAGCCGAAGAGCACTGAGGACCAAAAGTTCCAAAAAGTTGCGCCAAACACGGCTAAGGTTATATGTCTGGGATAAGAAAATCCTTAGTATTTAGAATAATTCATACTTTTGTAAACAGTAAATTTATAAAAATGACTATATAATAGCTATACATGATAACACCGAAGTGGTGACTAACTACAGAATAAAAACGGATACATAAAACAACATAAACCAGCACATAAAAATTCACAGCAGAGTAAGCCAAAGAGATCAACGCTAAAAAAAGGTGACGTCACATTTGAATTTCTGAAATTTCCCCAAAATAGGATAGAATTAGGATAGAATTCAAGATTTGGTTTATAATACTCATATAACATTTATCAATAACAATGAAAACCACAATACTAACCAATACAAAATGTGGCAGCAATAAGACAATCAATAGTACCATCTAGCTATGTCGGTGTCCCCTCTAAATCAAACTGCAAACCAAATATATCGCACAAATTCAGTCGACCCAATCTAAAATCCAATTAACAAACAGGGTGACCAATAATCTCTACCACAACACACGAACACAACAGAAAAAAACAAGACTCACAACCACAAACGACAAGACACCTGACAAAATCCGACGAGAACAACAAACACAACACCAAAACTAAACACATGAATCTCGGATAGAAAGGCACCGTGACACGTCCTATAGCAATGCGAATTCACACTCAGCAAAACAGTCATAATCGGGAATAAGTCACGTTCGGTAATTAAAAGATCAGACGACATAATGTCAAACCACAATCTAACACGTGGAAAAAATGTCCTTAGTTAGTTTGGACAAAGACACATCGTATGGATCGACCAATTCGTGATGGTGTCCGTAAAATTTACAGAGTATCATTTTTAATCTGTCCTCCTCATAACTTTGTTGGAGCAGTTTCTGCGTTAGGAGCACACTTCTGTATATGAAGTCTGTATAGTGTGAACATGCACGAGCATAACGTATCAACTGAGATATGTAAACACCATACAAAGGGGCAGAGGGTATGTTACTGCTGAGAAATGGGAAATTGATAATTGGGAAGTTGAAATCCTCCCGTTTATCATAGATTTTCGTGTGAAGTCGTCTATCTGTGTCAATATTGAGGAAAATATCAAGGTATGAAGCAGTACTTCTAGTATCAGTAGTATCCTGAATTTCAAGTTCACTGGGATATATGAGATGTAAGTATTGGCTGAAATATGGGTTATTCAATGATAGGACATCATCAATATATCGGAAAGTAAAATTAAAGAATTTCGCAAGGTGCTTTTTCTTTTTGTCTTTTAGAAGGTTCTGAATGAATTCTGCTTCATACGAGTACAAAAACAAATCGGCCAGTAGGGGTGCACAATTAGTACCCATTGGAATACCGACTGTCTGTTGAAATATAAATCCTCCAAACTCAACAAATATATTGTCGATCAAAAAGTCCAACATTTTGATAATATCATCTTCAGTATATTTTCTGGTAGATTCAGTGTGGTTCTTCACAAAATATGAATTATTGTAACCCAAAACAAGAAATTTGTATCTACGATTCCCATTTTTATAGAAAAAGCTCTAAAAACAGTTACTTAGACAACTTCCTGTTTGGGTCAAGTGTTGCAAAAACAAAGGTCATCAGTAACGAGCTAAGAGAGGAAAAAGTTGAGAAAGCAAACATTTTGAAACTTTGATAGATTATGATTCACTATTTTTAAACACAAATTAAAGTAATGAAAATTCTTTGTTTAAAGTGTTTAAGATGGTTTAAACATTTCTCTTTGAAAAGTTTTATGTGTAATACATTGTTTAAACAGTGCCCCAGATAGCTTCAACTGGATGAAAAAGTTGTGTAATTTTAGAACTTATCTGGATTTGAATAAATAGCGATAAGATGTGTGTTATGAGCAGTCAACCGATTGACATACCCGAATTACTTAAAAATCCGTGTGAAAGAGTGTTTATTTCGAGTGGTAAAGATCGTTTTAGTCGTTGATGTAATAATGAAAAGTCGACTTGACAGTGCCGAGTCGCCACAAGTCAATAATAACCCAGCTTTCTCAGGAATCTGATTATTTTTGGTTTTCTCATCAGAACATTTGTTACTTCGAATAATCGAAATCCACCTAAACTATCAATATCCGTCTGAAACTTATTGAAAATCAGAGCTGTTCAACGTCGTCGGACCTGTATGACCCGACCTACATACCTATCATCTTGGACCCTTTGTTTCGTAAACATTTTAGATCTGTTAGGTCCAATAAAAGTTTTATAAATTCCGATTTTATTTTCAACAAATAATTTTGACTGGTGCCCAAGTCTCTTCTTAAACAGATAAGTATAGGAACGGACAGTGCCACAGTTGACATCATCTAAACCCCTGCAGATCAAATGGAGTCTTATGACCAAGGATTTGTATAGTGAGACTCACTATACAAATCCTTGATATGACTTTGTCAAAATTTCATGAAATTTTGGGAAAACTGTACCTGGATTGGGACAAATGCATCTTTTTTTTGAGTAATTTTTTTGAAGAATAATGATTTTCTTAGAAAGAATGGACACTTGGAGATGCATTATATAACTCAATGTTCTCAAAATTCACCCCAAGCCAGATTCACAATGAAGTGGAATGTGGTTTTTTAAACTCAGATGTGAATAACCGCAGTAAGGGAAAACCAAGATTGGCCCTAAATATTCAAATATTGCACTTTGTTGAGTATTTATCAGAATCAATTTGTTTCTAGAAAAAATCAATCATAAGTTGTTCTGTAGCGGTTAAAATTTTAATTTAAAAGATATTAGTGCATTTATATACTCATGCAATAATATGCTCTTTGGAAATGCAATGTAGCACTACCATTTCCATGCCATCATAATTGAAGATTGTCTAAACCTGTGATGTTGTTAGCCTTTCCTGAAAAATAATATTTTTGATTATAATCAATCTGGACTATGAAATCACAAAACCTGTAGGGAACTGCCTTTACAGCGCATTCATGCTTTGTTTTATATATTAGAATATTGATAACTTTAAATCAGAAGCAAAGTCTATAGAACGTATCAGTAATTTACATTGTGTGAATTAGGACCTCTAGTTGTGTCTATGTAAGACATAATAGTGTCCTGTGAAAAAGTGTCCACCTGGACAGTTTTTCATAGTATTTTGGTATTAAATAATGTCCATTGCCATGAAATATTGTACCTCAAGTGGACAGATTTTTACTGCAAAAGTTATGAAATAGTGTCCACCCATAGGACAAGTTTTCATAGTAGTTGCTATTTAAAAATTGTGTCCTCCAAGGGAAGTAATACAGAGGTCATTAAAAAGTTTTATTATACTTAAATTTTAATAAAATCTGAACGATTGATTAGAAATTGATTATTATACAAATGTAAACAACAAATAATGGATGGATGTGAATATAGAGACATTTAAGTTCTAAGAAATACCCAGCTAATGCTAATGACAATGAGAAGGAAGTGTGTAAAGTATAATATCAAATGTGACGAACTTTACTATATTTATTATGAGAAGAAGGCAAAAGAAAATATAGAATTTTGGTATTAAATAATGTCCATTGCCATGAAATCTTGTCCCCTAAGTGGACAGCATTTTACAGCAACAGTTATGAAATATGGTCCACCTACACAGGAAAATTTTTCGCAGTAATTGTTAATAAATTGTGTCCTCCAAGGAAAATAATACTGTACAGCATCTGTTACTTGTTTGAATTTAAATCATTATACATGTATATATATTAAAAAATATAAATAAGAAGATAAGGATGGTATGAGTGCCAATGAGACATCTCTCTGTCAAAGTAACAATGTATTAAAGTTCGCAATTATAGGTTAAAATACGTCCAGTAATAACAAGGCAATGGATATCATTTAATACTTTAATAATATCAATGAAATTTTCTGTCGGACATAATGTCCTGTGAAAAAATGTCCACCTGGACAGAATTATAGTATTGAATAATGTCCATGTTCTTGGACACTTGTTCATACCTGAGGACATATTTTCATAGGAAATTGTGTCCGGGACACATTTAAATAAGTAAATATTATCCATGTCCATAAATGATATGTCCGGTGGGGGGCATTATTAAATCCTACATCTTCGTAAAAAATGTGTTATAAATATTCAAACAAAAAGACCTGTTCATTGATGATTAAATTATATTTTTTTTTTTTGCTTTTTTTAAGAGCCTGGTCAACTGTAGGATCTCGATTGACAGATGCCTCAGATGAAATAGCAACTTGTGAATATGATCATACCACAAATTTTGCCTTGTTGATGAGTCCAATAGGTGCTAAGGTTTGTAATTTCCTGTGTGATTGTTTATTCTAAAGATGCTTCCTTTTAATCTTTATATTGAATTTGAAGGATTTGGGGAGATTTTTTCATCACTTGGCATCATTCATTGGCATTGGAAATATACTGAAGGGGCATTAGCTATCAAATTCATGTTCACCAATTTCACTCATATTTGATTTATAACATTAAAACATAACCAAATAATAAGTCCAAAAGAAACAATGAACAATTCGTAGACTTATTATAATGTATCCACATTTGATTTGTATTTAAGACTAGACACCATCTAATTAACTATCAAGATGACCTCCAAAGAATTCAGATGGTCACATGACCTGTAAAATATAAATACACAATCAAGCACGTGTAATCGTATAATGACAATTTTCTAGGTCTGTTTAATTTCCTGACATAGATTAAAGAAATGTGTAAATCATTGTTTTACCTGTATCAAAATGATTTTTTGTGGGCAAATTCAGTCAGTAAAAAGGTTTTTATTGGTCGGAGCCTTGTTTCACTTTTACAATGTTGACATTCTTTTCTTTTTAATATAAATAAGAAGATGTGGTATGAGTGCCAATGAGACAACTCTCCATCCAAGTCATAATGTATAAAATGTAAACAAATATAGGTCAAAGTACAGCCTTCCACATGGAGCCTTGGCTCACACTGAACAGCAAGCTATAAAGGGCCCCAAAATGACTAGTGTAAAAAAAAAATTCTAACAGGAAAACCAACGGTCTAATCTATATAAAAAACGAGAAACAAGAAACACTTATGAACCACACCAACAAACGACAACCGCTGAACAACAGGCCCCTTAGCACATGTGTAATCCATCTTCAGATAAGGGTAGAATTGAAGGTCACATGCTTTACCAGATGAGGCATGTTCATCTACTTCCCAATTACCTAATACTTATATATTATTATAGATATTGACCATGTATGAAATTCACACAAGCATGTTTTCATGTCCATTGCTCATCAACTTCCTGTTTTCTGAATACTTATTAAGGAGTATCATTCACTTTTTTATGTGAACTTGTATATTTATAATATCGTTTTTCACAAATACAAATGTACTTAAAATCTGATTTATAAGGGGAGATAACTCAGAAAACTTTAGTTTTTACAGCAAACTTATTAAAATCAGGTTTTTCACTAAGCTCCCTGAGATTTGTTTGTAGCAGTGTGCAAGATCTAAAAACACTCCATAAGGGATCACATTAAGTGACCTTTCAGCATCCAATCAAACCTTTACTGTCAAAAGTTTCATATTTTTTACCAATGACTATCAAAAACATCATCAGGTAAACTGCATTATATTTCCAAATATAATCCTGATCTAGCTATTTTATTATCTTTGTTTTGATTTTATGCATTAGTCTTCAAATAATTGTATACATTTCACAACTAAGCAAATTTAGTACATTTTTATTGTTTTGTTCATTTTATATAACGTATGTAGAATGCAAGGTAATCTAAGCACAAACTCTTATGAAATGTTTTCAGATCTTACATGCAGTGACAAACAAACTAACGGAGCAAATTGAAATCTGATTTTTAATCAGATTATTTCTACAATAAATTATACTTAAAGACGATACAGATACAGCCTATTCAGTTTTACCTATAATTTTTTTCATGAATTTTTTTAGCAAGGTATTTGGAACAAAAGGAGTTAAAGAATTTGTTTTGTAACTTGTCAATTGATATTAAATTCAGAACCATAACTTTTTTTTTTTTTTTTACATTAGACAGAAAATTATTTATTTTTCAGGTGACTGGACATGAAAAAGCATTGAGTTACATATCAGCAATTGGTTGTGGTATATCCATCCTATTTTTGATTATTACTCTTGTGGTATACTTTAAAAATTGGAAGTAAGTTTTATGCAAGTACAACTATTTGAAGAAATTAGATCACTACCTCTTTATACAGTAAATCAAACCTTATCTAGCTAGTAACAACAATGCGCCATCGTTTTACATCCAAATACCACCAATTAATCAAACCTGATCTGACTTGCACATCTAAGAAACAGGCAAATGACCAAATAGGCAAATACCACTAAAACAGTCAAACCTGATCTGATTGGCACATCTATAAAATAGGCAAATGATCAAAATAGGCAAATACCACTAAAACAGTCAAACCTGATCTGATTGGCACATTTATAAAATAGGCAAATGATCAAAATAGGCAAATACCACTAAAACAGTCAAACCTGATCTGACTGGCACATCTATGAAAAAGGCAAACAATCATAATAGGCAAATACCACCAAAAGTCAAACCAATCTGACTTGCACATCTAAGTAACAGGCAATTTTTAAGAACAGGCTTAAATTCAAATTTGGTCAAACAGGCACAACTGTGCAACAGGTAACTGTTCATAACATGCAAATACGCATCTGAATGAAAAGTCCATGCAAAATGCACATTTTAATGAAATGCAGTACCACTAAAGTCAATCCTCGTCTTTCTTACACCTCTATACATGAAGCTGTTCATAATGAACAAATGACACTTGAGTACTATAATATGGACATTCCTCTGAAATCACTAAAACAATAAACATTTCACAGAATCTTTCTGTTATTGTACAATATGGCCTTAGACATTGTTCACAAATAGTAGAGTGGGAATATAAATTTATGAGCTCTGCTTTGATTTATAGCCAATGCTTTATTTTATTTCAGTCGAATCAGATCAGATAAAGCAAAAATTCTGGCTAACTTATGTATAGCTCTGATACTTTCATATGCTTTGTTTCTATGCTTGTGGGCACCATTATCAGACATAAAGGTAAGTCACAATCACTGTTAAAATGATATTGATAGATCTTACTAAGAATAAAACCAACACATTAAACTACAGTCGAACTCGGTTGTGTCGAAAACTCTGATGAGTCGAAATAATTTCTCGTTCACGGTAAAATTCCTGTTTAATCAATGCATAATTACCTCTGATGAGTTGAACTCGGTTGATTTGAATACACGGTTAAGTCTTAGTAAATTTTATAGTCCCGTCGATGTAAAATTTACGTAAATTGACCCTGATGTCTTGAAGTTCGAAAGTAAGAATTTTCGAAAGATGCAGACCTAACGATAAAAACTCAAGGGCGTTTTACGTTTCCGCAAATTGGCATTACTTTACCGGGAAAAAAAGATGACGTTTCCGCAAAAAAAAGTCTACGTTTCCGGAAATAAATACCTTACTTTTCCGAAAAAATAGTAACGATTCCGGATAAAAAATAAATTATTACTTTTTCGGGAAAATAATTAAGGAGTACCTTGAACTTTGTCCTTAACGAAACCTGCAACAACTGATTGTAGCAGCCTAAATTTTTTTTTTTGTAACAGCAGTATGCATTGCACATTCCAAGTCAATATGATCTACCTCGGGCTGGAGAGTTAAACTTCGGGTAGTGCACACATAAATAAGCAGTGGAAGTAACGCAAACACAAATATAGTTACCATTTTACACCCGTGTATCGAATAATTAACTGTGCCAACTATGAAAATATCAGTTACTTCATTACATAGACGATCAAAGACATTTCAAGTTGGTGAAACATAAAAATATAACGATTCCGACATCATCATCTTTCACTAAGGTGAGACTTTCATTTTTTTATATCTATACTAGTATATTGTAGATATAAGACCAGAACCAATTTGTATAAAAATATGAACTGAATAATTCATCTAAAATATATTCAAATAGTAAATTTCCGGAAAAGTAATAAATACAATTTCTGGAAACGTATACTTTAAGTTTCCGGAAACATAGTATTGGAACTTTGAAAAATTAGCGGAAATGCTATACGCCCAAACTCAAATCCGATGCATTTCTTATGTAACCTAATCATATTCAAAAGAGATTAAAGCTGAGTAAACATACTTGTTTGTATAACAGTTAAAATGACATGTTTATGGTGACCGGTAATTAACACCTTTGTTGATTGTCTAAGCAGAACATTAGTGTGTTGAACATATTTCACCTGACATAATTAGGAAACGAATTAAAATGACCCAAGCCGAGATTAAATGAATCGTTAGAATTAAAATTCATTAATTACAATAAATAAAAGGATTAGACAATTATGATAAATTCATAATAATTTAATGTAAAGCAGACAACTTCATCAGGGACCATTCAGAACTTGTTTCGTTCTGCGAGTGATTTCATAATTTATAGTGACTGACCTTTGTAAAAATTTGTGTATACTATTGATTTTATTTGTGCATCATTTGTATCTGTACTTGTGTGTTTAATTATTATGAAGGACCAAAAAATATGAAGATCGAATCAAGGCTTCCAAAACGGTCATATATGCCGGACATTTGTATAATGTCCGGTAAAAGTCCGGCTGGGCAAAGCATGAAACGGTCATCCACTTTTTAGTTTTCAAGGCTTTAAGAGACGGTCATTTTAACATTATTTGCAATCTTTTTGACCCAACGTTTTGCCTTTAACAGCCACACATTTCAGGTCATAAAAGTGACATGATCATTAAGTACTATCAAAACAACCCCTACTTTAATACCTTCTCATTTTAATCAAGGCTAATTAGTTGTCAAACAGCTGAAATTTACGTGTTCAGGTGACAGGTAAACTATTTTGAACCGGACATTGATCGGTCTATTCAAAGTTATTTTCTTACATTTCAGCGGTTTGCATCTAATTAATTTAGTCAAAAAGATTTAAATTATCAGAAATACGTTTACAAATATGATTTGATGAAAAAATTAAAAAGGTGAAAATGAAAAATCGTCATAACCACGTTGTAAGAACCTAGAGACATGTCTCTGTTTGAACTAGTACACATGTGCGCAGGTGTGAAATTTAATTATGCATCCTAATTTCTTCAAAAAATGCTCAAATTGTCATTGATATCTTTATCTCCCATTTATTTCGAATATTTTCTTGAAGAAATAACGTAGAAAGAGCTACTTCCACTCATTCACGCTTTGCAAACGTATACAGAATTTACGTATCCGTCTCTGGTCCATGTTTTACCATTGTCAAGATAACATCCGGTATAAAAACGAAAGTAAAGTTTTTGACAAGGTTATTTTGCACAAATAAAGAGTCTTAGGCAGATATAAGTACGCTGATGTTGCACACTTCGAATGATGCACTGCCAATTTAACAGTTTACGTCAGAACTTCGAATTTGAAACAAAGAAAGTTTAATATCGTTTTTTTTTTAATGTCAATCATTGGGATGGCCAACTCGGCAACTGATTACCATAATTGCCTTTTGTTTATTTAGTCTTAAGGGATTAAAATCGGGATAATATATAAAATTTCCGGCTGGCTAAAAATAATTTTGAAAGCCCTGGATTGAATACACAATCATAAAGTGTCATTATCGAAAAAAGGCACACTGTTCAAAGTACATCTAGTTTACACAAATCTCATATCGTATTTCATGCATTCCAAATTTATGAAGACACACTTGACCTCGGATGAGTCGAACCTGGAATAAGTCAAATACTTTGGTCCGGTGCCTTTGACTTCGATATAACTATGTACGACTATATACAAACTAAAATATCCAGGGTCACTAAGTTTATAGCAATAAGCAAGCACTTATTTTGTAGTTTCATTGGTGAAAATGTTTATAATAAACAAGTGTATACTGTACCATTGGAGACAAAAGTCAATGAGCTTCTATAAATAAGAGAAGATATAGAAATCATTTAGTCGATAACTGAACAAATCCGTCACAAAAAAGCGTATAATTTAGGAAGCTTTGAAACGTTAACCAGTTAAGATTTATAAGTTGTGATTGATGTCATTAAAGCCACAAAAGAATGCTAAGTTTACATTACCATGTTTAAGTTGCAGTGTTATCCACATCTCGCAAAGAATTTCCCTTAAACCAATGCTAGGGGCCATCATGAACTGCAGTGAGGTGAAAGTTTTTGCTTTATGTTGAAGGCCTGACTGTGACTTTGAGATTTAGAACAGCAATAAAAGCACCGTTCCTTTCCTTTAATTGTTTTCATGTGCACATAATGACAATGTGTTAAAAATTGATACACTATATCTTTTCTTCTCCATTTTTATACAGGCACTGTGTACAACATTTGCTGTATTACAGAATTGATACACCATATCCTTTCTTTTACATTTTTATACAGGCACTGTGTATAACGTTTGCTGTAGTACTACACTATATTTTCCTGGTGGATTTCTCTATGATGTTAGCAATGGCTATAGAAATTGGATTCCAAGTCCTTTATGTTTTGCCAACAAAGTCTAGAGTGAAATGGTTGATACCAATTTGTTGGGGTAAGCAGTATCTGAAATAAGATTTTATTTTTATTGTTGAGCCTCTTGCTATCACTTTTTGTCTACAAAAGTTCACACAAAACATAGCAGAAATCATTTCTAAAGTATTTGGTTTCAAACTGTTTGCACTGTCTTGCCAATTAAATAGACCTACATAGCTGGTTTACTTTGAATAGATCCATGCATTTTTCACTAAGGTATTCTTATCCTTTACATATTAAGAAACCAAAGGATTACAGATTGCCTGTCCATAATTACTTACTTTAATAGTATGTTCATCCTATGTAACTAATATTTTACATGGAGAAGAATTGTCACCTATATATTTAAACCATTTATTTGTAAATATAGAATTTATGCACATTGTTTGCAAATTTAAACAGGTTGCTTTAATAATGCTACAGAAATGAAAGATATTGTACACTGTAAGGTATGATTAATTGAAGATGAACATCATTCTATTTTGATATGTAGAAAAAATAAAGATATAGTAAAAGACATATAAAAAATAACTATTGGAGAAATTCGTCAGCTTTAATTGGATATAAGAAGATGTGGTATGAGTGCCAATGAGACAACTCTCAATCCAAGTAACAATTTGTAAAAGTAAACCATTATAGGTCAAAGTACAGCCTTCAACACGGAGCCTTTAAAACTTTATATTATCAGTACAAAATGTTAAAAACTTAACAATTTGGGGAAAGATTTGTTTACTGCTGAAAAACTTTGCAATTTATAAATATTATTAGTAAACAATTGTATGTAAAATGCTGTCTATTGATGTGTATACATGTATGTGTGTAGTGAAACCAAGTGTATAATTTGTTTTATGGGTATATGCTGTTGATTTTGGAGATTTAAGAATTCATTAAACTGGGCATATGAAATATCAAAATACATTAAAAAAATTAGTAAAAGTATGTAATTGTTTCAGTTGCTCCAACAGTCATTGTGGGTATTTCAATGGGTGCAACACAATTAGAAGGATATGGGGATACTTCAGATGTGTAAGTTTGTCTTGATCTTTTACTCAGGTACAGAATAGTGAATCTCAATTGTTGAACAGTTGTTCACCTGGTCAAATTTTACTGCAGGAGAGCAGCCCTTTCAGATTTCATTATCTAATAACATTTTGAAAGTGCATTTTAAAAAATAATTAATATATGTATTGCAAAAAATGTTTTTTTGTTCAACAAAAAATTGATGCATACCAAGGTATCCACTCCAGGAGTGTCTACCAAAAGTAATTACTACAGCGTTGGTTCAATTTTATGGAGTTATAAAAAAATTGATGAGTAATTGAATACTGACTTATGACATTTGAAACTTAACCAGATACTAGTTTACTCAGACATTCTCTATTAAAAGATACCAATGTAATGAATTTAGAAATTTATGAAAGTCAGTTATATAAAAACTTAATACATTGTGTGTATTATCTTTCAGTTGTTGGCTGTCTGTAGATAATGGACTGATCTGGGCATTTATAGGACCTGCTTTAGTTATTGTGTTGGTAAGTATGAGATCATTTTTGCTGTAATTATTTTATCAACTTTTTATTGAAAAAATGAATTATCTGAAAAAATTGCATTGTAAGAGCTCTCATGTCTACATTACTTCTCCGATTCTTATGAAATTTATATCAAAGGTTTATATCAGAAATGTCTTGGACAAGTATGATCAGAGCCGATCAACTATTTTTATGGGAGTTATGTCTCTTGGAAATGAAATATGTTTGGAAAATAGCATTGTAAACCCTCTCAAACTTACATTTCTTGTAGAATTAGTATGAAACTAATATCAAAGGTTTATATGAACAATGTTTTGTACAAGTTTGAAAATCAGCTCTAATCAACTATTTAAAGGGCTGTTATATAACGGAAATTATGATATAGATATGGTACCATGATATAGACAAGGTTCCTGAAAGTGGCGTTCAACATTAACACCTCAATAAACATAACAATATAAAAATAATGCCTCAGAATCTTTAAAATGATTACTGACCTGTATCCACTCCTGTAAGCATTGGTTTCAAATTTTATTTCAGGTGAATCTTGTTATACTTGTTTTAGTTATAAGGACTTTGTTTAGGACTATGAGGAGTAAACCTGGTAGATCACAACAATCAAAGTCTAGACTAGAAAAAACAAAGTAAGTGTATATGTAAATCTACCTAAATGTTGGCACATCTTTATTATTACAAGCCATTTGAATTAAGGAGGGTTTAGGGTGAGGGCTTTGGAGATTTTGCATTTTTATGCCCCCGCCGTAGCGGAGGGGGCATTAAGTTTTACCCTTGTCCATCTGTACGTACGTACGTCCTAAAATTGGTTTCCATTCTCTAACTTTAGATTGCCTCAAACAAATGTTATGAAACTTATCCACAATGCTTATTACCACAAAACACAGATCAAGTTTGAATTTTGGTGGCATCACTTTTACTGTTCTAGAGTTATGCCCCTTTACAAATGGAAAAATTGCTGATTTTTTCGTTTCTGTTCTCTTACTTTAGTTTGCCTCAACCAAATGTTATGAAACTTATAAATAATGCTTATTACCACAAAACTCAGATCAAGTACTTTTTACAGTTCTTGAGTTATGTCCCTTTATAAAGTTATATGCAAGTGGGGGCATCATCTGTGTCCCATAGACACATTCCCCTTTTATTTTATCTCAATTTGTTTAAAAAATATAATTGAAAATAAGTAATTTGTTTCTTCAAAATCATTTTTGATTGTGAGAGTTAAAATAAATACTGAAATGCCATAGTTTTGCCAGGTGAGCAATGCAGGCTCTTAAGTGCCTCTTGTGTGTATACTTTTTATGCTTTTTTTTTTTAAATTTAGACCACCCATGCACATACACACACACACACCATCTACCTTAAGCTTACAGGATAAAAACAATCTTGAAAAATATAGTTTGTAATTTTACAAGACCCTTTGCTGGTTTCTCAAATCATGTAATAGGTATTTCTGACCCTTTTACAGATATTGTTTGTATAATACTAGTATGAACTTATTTTTGTAGGTCTGGTGTAAGAAGTATTTGTGTACTTGCTCCTTTGTTTGGTGTAACTTGGGTTTTTGGTGTATTATCTATATCGAGAGATTTGGTAGTATTCCAATATCTTTTTGCAATATTCAACTCATTACAGGTATGTCCTAAGGTTTATTCTTAAATATTTTGATAGCCTGTTATTTTATGTATTTTGTATATTTTTATATGCGTAGTATTTGATATTAATATGTATTTGAATAGAGTTATATGGTTAGCTTATTAATTGCATTTTGTAATTAAGGATTAGCATTGTGTATTATTCTATGTTAACTTATTGACATTGATTATTGACGGACGAATTCTCATCTTTTGTAAACTTTGGTTTCACTGTAGTTAGTACTTCATTTTCACGGTTGATTTGAGCGCTACCTTATATTTGTATTATTGGTTAGTACTTTTTGGCAGTTTAATTCCTTTGTTCTATATCTTATGGGAAGAAATCTTGTGGTCAACACATATATATTAACCTGTCTGCAATTTAACAACTTTAGAAATTAATATCTTGAATAACAATTCTGTGATTGGAAAGTTTCTTATATAAGGTATTTCTGAATTTACCAGAGATGAAGTGTTAGATGTTACGACTATATATATTTTGGTTATTTATGGAAATCTGCCACTTGCACGATATGTGAGAGCAGTTTTACATATCCGTTATATTTACTTCTAACCATCTGAATAAAAGTTTCAGAACCCTAGCTTGAAATTATTTATGATAAAAGCCTGAAGAACCCAGCTTTTACAACTGTATGATAATTAATGGTAGAAAAGAGAAAGTTAGATAATTAAGGGAAAATCTAAAACTATGACCAAAAGCCAAAAAATGAGGTGACAATTAAGATTGATTAATACAAACCAGATAAAAAAAACTTGGTCAGCTTGGGTACTCACTCACTAAGTGATTACTTCATTTCACATAAATAAAATTGACTGATATGAACAAAAAAAGATCAGGGTATATGTCAACGAGACCATTTGTCGTCATTATTTTACAAATGATATGAAGTTAAAGGGAGATAATTCTTTTTCTTTTTGCAGACAACTGGTATAGTCAAATTATATTCCATTTTCAGTTAATGTTTCAGTTATTTTCGAATTACATTTGTTAGTAAATATTTTGAGATACTCAATAACCATTGTATATGAATCTTTTAAGATTTAATCAAGTTATTCCTTTTTCAGGGATTTTTTATTTTTGTTTTTCACTGCCTAATTGACAAAAAGGTAAGCATATAAAGCAAATATACAGTATTTAATTTTAAATCTGGTTAAAAGAAGTTTAGAAAATATTAAGGTATGATAAAAAAAATTATAGTAAAAAAAGAGCTCAAATATGATTAGACCAAAAAGAAAACAACATAACTTGAAGAACATTCACGAAAACAGTAAACCTTAGAAGAAGAAACAAAACACTGACTGAAACTTCCAATCTGATTAAAATACTGATCCTGTGTCCAAACTTCACTGACAAGGGTCTGACAACACTACTTTCTACTTTCTGTTTTAACAACACTTTGTCGTACTGAAATACACCTTTAAAAGTTTGGAGGCAGAAATTTTATTGGTTGATTTAAAAGTAATCCGAACAGAAAGTAGAACAGATTTAAAAGTAATCCGAACAGAAAGTAGAACAGAGTTTTAAGGGTTTGACTGAAAACTGAATAGGTACATTCAAGTTTTAAGTTTTTGGTTAAGGTAAAAAGAAAAATAACAAAAATAACAAAACTCCAGGAAAAATTTACCATAAAGCTTTGATCACATCAATTTCAAGTACTAAAATTTTGATAAGACGCACACCACCTATTCTTGGCCCCATTCCTTTCCACGTTGCACTTTTCAATGTTTATGGGGTGTTATTTATACATCAGACTGTACTGGTTACTGGAACTTTGGATACACCAAACCAGGTACTTCATATCTGAGAAACAGGCAATATATGCCCTCAATTTTAGAATTCATTCATACATTTTTGTATTATTCAAAATTATCAGTCAAAATGTGTTCTATAAGGATCACCAGTCCTTCACCTTTCATCTGATACCTTTCTAAAATATATTCTACATAGTTTGATATTTACACCTATCTGTAGGAACTATTTTGTGTTAAATATGTACTACTTTCCAGTATGTTCTTTTTTGAACGGGCAAGATTTGGTTGTGTTAATTATATCTTACACATATCTCCACATTTGCGCAAAACTTTTGGAAAATCGCATGAATCAGTGTTTTCAGTTGAAACTGATAGCCATTTATGAAACTATATTCTTTATGATTTTGGCATTAATTTTTTGCCAGTTGAATAGTTATCATTAAAAACTTTGATTACAATGTGTGTGCTGCCTTTTTCTAATTTATATCAGCCTGCTACTTCAAATTTTAGAGCACTGCAATAATAATGAATGCCATGGACAGTAAGGTTAGTTACGCAATATATGCAAGAAAGTTAGATGCTAAATGTTAGATGTTAAATATTTGTAGGTTAAAGAAGCAATAAAACACCATAGTAATAAGAGAAGAGCAGCTCGTTTGGATTCCTTTTCCATCACAGTAAGTCATTCACACTATTATAATTTGATTTTTTATATCTAAAAAGTTACATATTAGCTACATTTCTTCAGAGGACATTTTTTAAATTAGTGTCAAAGGTTAATATCAGGGACACATCAGATGAGATGAAAAAGTTAGTATGGTTTGAATATTTTTTTGAGAGTTATATACTTTGGAGATTTCAATTTTTATAAATAATCACCATTTTCAGCACTTTCCCACCTTCATTACTTAATGGAGTTTAAAGAAATTTAAGTCAAATTTTTGGATCAGCAATATCTCAGTTGAATTTTAAGATAAGCACATATCAATAATTTTAATGTTAGTTATGTCCCCTGGTCATATATGTGATATGGTAAAATTCAGTAAATCTGATGGGGACATTGGTTACTCTGTTACAATCTTGTAATGGTGCAAATGGGACCCCAAATTTACAAATAAACAAAACATTTATTGACTTGTTCACCTTTGCTGTATATTTTTATATCAGGAATCAAAGTCAAGAAAAACCTCCCAGACAAGTGATACTAATTTAACTCCCAAGGCAAGTCCAAAAAGTAAGTAATTGCTTATTAAGGTAGATGGGGACTCTAAATTAAAATCTATAGATTTTTCAAAAATTTGCCTAAATGTAGCTAATTAAGACCAATTAATATCAAAATTAAATGGTTTTAGAGTTTTCGTAAAAAATCTAATAAAAGAGATATTTTCCATTATGGCTCCTCATGACCCAACAGTTATGCCATGACTTTGACACAAAGTCATCTTGAATATTCTTGTGGATTCTGTGTATATTTTAATTGTAAGGAACATTTACAACAATAATATATGTCTGTAGCACAACAAGGTCAGCTCACACTTTCAAATTTCCATTTCCATTGAACAACGAAATATTGGTCATACCTTTAATCTGGTATGTGAATTAAAAAGTTTTGTAACATAAATTTATTAAAGTCAATATGACTTATAGATCTATTTATTTTTCATATAACTATATTATATACTATAAACCAAGGGCTTTATTTCAGTCTAATTTTATTGTGATTGTGTATTTAAATTCTATGTATCTATATATGCTAATCAATGTTCTTTTTTCTTATACTCGGTACATGTATTCTCTATATGCCCCTTGTGGGCCCTTAATTGGTAATAAGATATGTTCTTGTTTTTGTTCATAATGAACATATGTGTCAAGTTTCAAATTGATGTGACTACAACTTTAAGGTAAACTATCTTAACCTAAAACTTTAACCTGATACAGGACAAACTTATTCAATTTGATGGATGCATGGAAGCAGAGCCTGAAAAACCCTAATACCCCCCTACAATTGAAGGTGGGGCATAAAATGTTTTACTTGATTTAGAGTTGATATTGGTATATGTAGTCACTTAGATCAATTAATAGGTTAGTGATTAATTGTGTCATGAAATTCATCAAAGATCTATTTTAAAAACATATATAAGTATTTTTGTTAGTGTGTTTTAAAAAACTATCTGCATTTTTTTATCAATCTTTTGAAATCCTTGAAAGAAAAATGGAAAGCCTGTGAAAAGATAGCTTTATATGATTTGTTAATACTGATTATAATTATTTTCAGTATCACATTCTAGTGTATTTACCAATGACCTGAAAAAAACATATGACAAAGATCTGAACAATAACCTGAATAACAAACTGGTCAGTATAATCTAAATTGATAGAAAAATGAAAGGCTTTGGAGTACCAAATTATTGTACCAATAGAGGCTTGCAAAATGGGCTTCCAGCTTATGGAGAGTCTGAAGTAAGATCTCATGAAGCAAAATAAAAAATATTTGTCAAGTGGTAGAATAATTCAATGCTTGTTTTATAGTAGATTGATTGCCTTATTTGTACAATTTAGAATTCTATTTGTGGCAAGACTATGACTCTATTACCAGTGTTTGCTGCTTCTTTGATAAGCACAAAGCACTTAGGGGATGACCATTTTATTTTCTGGGGCGGGGACAGTAGGAATTTTTGTGGATAGAATATTTATATTCATTTGTTGCTAGTACAACTTTTTTTTTTGTGTTTTGACACGCAAACAAATATTAACATTGTAGTATGCATTTATTTCCTGCATTTCGTTGAACAGAATATTCATTTTCACACTGTTTTGTCTTGTCTTGGGCAAAGTTATACATTTTCAGTTATTATCCAGGCCAGAATATGCATTTTAAGTCTGTTTTGCCTTGTCTTGGGTAAAGTTGTATTTTTATACCCCCGCTTTAAAAAAGTGGGGGTATACTGTTTTACCTCTGTCTGTCTGTCCATCCATCCGTCCGTCGGTCCCATAAATATATTTCGTCGCATTTTTCTCAGGAACTACATCATAAGGATTTCTGAAATTTGGTTTCAGGGTTTATATAAGTCAGCTATACAGTGTGATGCATTTTCAGATTCATCACTCAACAACTTCCTGTGTACCGAACACTTACATATTTTTACATATTTTTACACTATTAAAATAATCCACTTACTGCGGGGGTATCATCAGTGAGCAGTAGCTCGCAGTTTCACTTGTTTCAGATGTTACCAAGCCAGAATATTCATTTTCAAAATCCTCATTATATTGTGGATACAGAAAATTTAATTACAGTTGAAAATTGTAACTGCACGTTGTATTATATGAACAGTTGAGCAGTTTGAAAATCTTATGTATCGTGAATTTGTTTTAATATGATTCCATTGAAACTGAAAGATTATATTTATTGATGAAATATATCATTGCAGCCAGAAAGAAAGGGATCTCTATTTAATAAGTTTGGACAGTCGGTCATTTCAAGAAACCAACAGGTAAACTACAGTTTTGGCTAATGAGTCTAAAGTATAGCAAAAAGCGAATAAATGACAGGGTAAAAATTGTAAAAAAGCCCTATCTACCTTGAAAATTTTAGAAAAATCTGTCCACCTGTTTTGGAGTCATTGTTTATGGAATTTTGATTTAAAATTTTTTTTTTTTTGCATTTCTAGGCCCTTGTTTGAAAACTAAGGAAATGGTTAAAAGTGAAAATACAAAAATGGTCAGGATGGCAAGTTGTATGTACCTGTAAAATTTCATAAATAAATGAAGCCCATATATGATTCCCTGCATCTTGTAAAAGGTTGGTCTTAAAACCTCCTTCCAATGCAGCTCCACCTGCATCCAGAACCAAATTTACATTTAAAAAATTTGAAGTCAGTCGTGCGTTTGAAAGTACCTTTTTTTGTAGTATCATTTCAGCTTTTTTTCGACACAAGACAGATGTAGATATTTACGACTAAAATAAAACATGTATTCACAATTCCAAATATTATTTACTGTCTTTGTCAAAAAATTACTGTAAAACAAACAATTTTTTCACAATATCTTTTGGGCAAAAAAATCAGTTCTTAACTAATATTAAATGAGGAGATTTGGTATGATTGCTAATGAGACAACCTTCCAAATTACATGGATTGAACCAATTATAGGTCACCATATGGCCATCACCAATGGGCAAAATCCATACTGTTTAGTCAGCTACTAAAAGGCCCTGATATGAAAAAATTTAGAACAATTTAATCGACAAAACAATAAATGAAAAATAAATATGACAGACAGCAATCAAAGACAACCACTGAATTACGGACTCCTGACTTGTTATAGGCACATATAGAATGTGGAGGGAATTTAGTTTAAAGATTTGCTTCTGTCTCATCTTCTGTATGAAAAGACACAGTTAAACAGCATTCGGCTTTAGAAGTAAAGCAGTCTGTTAAAAAATTGGATATTAAGATTAAATGACTTTATGAAATCTGAATGTCCTATTTATCATCTGTAGCTAATATTCTTATCATTTCAGCCAATAAGTAGAAGATCTGCATCTCCTAGGAATCAGCCCTCACAAGCAAACCAACAAGAGGGTTACAATCCATTTGGACGGGTACAAAGTCCAATGAGATTGTCTCCAGGACACCAACCAGCAACTCATTGGCAGCCAACTACTGCTGACATTGGAACATTTTAAAACTACCGTCCATACAAGACTACAGTTTTCAATTCCGTCCTGTCAGTAAATTGGTTGTGGAACAGCTATTTTTGTGATTATTTTGGTTGGGATTTGAAATGAAAAAACTGTATAATTATGCACAATGAAAATTAATGCATAATATGACGTTTTCATCTTAAATAAAAAAAAAAAAAAATTTATTTGTAGATGGCAGTTAAGGGGAGATAAATTAATGATTCATGTACAATGTATTTTGATTCAAAATAGAACAAGCTAATTTCCACAGACTGAAGTGGTTTGAATTTATTTTTGTTTATACAACAAACAATCATTGTGCTTTTTGAATATATAGAACAGATATTTCTTAAATCTCTAGATGTTTTATATAGCAAAATGAGGGACTGGGTAATCTTTCATCAAGAAGGAAAACATTCTAAAAATGAGTCAAATTTCTTAAATGAACGAAAGTATATTTGATTTAAGAATGAGTTGTGTCCAATTTACCTCTTTATGTCTTTACATTCACACATGTGTTATTTATATAGCGTTGAATTATTTATCACGTTGATGAAATACTACCTCTGTAAATGATATTGTTTATTTTCTTATACATAACAGCTTTTTACATATTGTTTCATCTCCTGACTGGTGCAATAAATATGCAGTTTAACAAAAAAATTGTTTGTTTTTCTATTTGACAAAACATTTCCATTTTCTATTATATGTAGAATTAAAGTTCAGTATATACGTTTTGGTAATATCACCTTATTTGATTTTTTGTCGAGCCTGCGACTTTTGTCACAGAAAGCTCGACTTAGGGATAGTGATCCGGCAGTGGCGGCGGCGTTAACTAACTACTTAAAGCTTAATATTTCGGAAGGTAGAAGACCTGGATGCTTTATACTTTGTATATAGATGCCTTATGTTATGAAGTTTCAATCTGTCATATGTCCATTGTCCTTGACCTCATTTTCATAGTTCAGTGACTACTTGAAAAAAAAGTTCAGATTTTTTGTAATGTTAATTTCTCTCTAATTATGAGTAATAGGATAACTATATTTGGTATGTGTTTACCTTGCAAGGTCGTCATGCCTGTCAGACAGTTTTCACTTGACCTCAACCTCATTTCATGGATCAGTGAACAAGGTTAAGTTTTCGTGGTCAAGTCCATATCTCAGATACTATAAGCAACAGGTCTACTATATTAGGTATATGGAATGATTGTAAGGTGTACATGTCCAACTGGCAGATGTCATCTGACCTTGACCTCATTTTCATGGTTCAGTAATTAAAGTTAAGTTTTTGTGTTTTGATGTGTTTTTCAAATACTATATGCAATAGTCAACTGTATTTGGTGTATAGGAATATTTTACAATGAACATGTCAGTCTGGCAGGATTTTTATTACCTTGACCTCATTTTCATGCTTTATTGCTCAATATAAAGTTTTCATTGTTTGGTCTGTTTCTTGTATACTATAAGCAATGGGTCAACTATATTCAGTGTATGGAATGACTGTAAGGTGTACATGTATTTCTGGCTTGGTTTATCTGACCTTGACCTCATTTTCTTGGATCATGTTAAGTTAAGGTGATATTTGTAGTAAACTTTATATTTAGGACTATCAACATAAAATCAATGGTCAATAAAGAAGGCGAGACATTTCAGCGTATGCACTCTTGTTCATTTATTTTTCTTATTCTGCAAACAGCTTTTACCATACAAATACAGGTCTACAAATAACTTTTGTAAAATCTGTATAATTAACAAAGAATGTCATCTTGTCTCCTGCTTCTATAGTAACCTGTGGATAAATGATATCAAACTCAAAGTAGTTACTGCAAAATTACAAGGTGACTTAGCTTGTTAAATGTTTTGACTTACTATGTCCCGATGGTAAGGAATAGCTGTGATATTGTGATCCCAGTCCTAATTACATAATTGAAATGATCATGCTTTATACTGTATTTAAAGAATGAAATGTTGGGCATACACCAGTGAAGCAAAAGTCTAACTTAAAACACAATGAAAAGCTCCTTGTTTAGACAGGTTGCAATTGAAAAAATAGAGACTAGCAAGTGTTAGCCTTCATTATGGATTGCTTAATAAAAAAAACCACCTCAGATATATACAAAGACCAACTCTAACTAAGTTCCTTACTTGGGACAAACAAATTATAATGTAGAGGAGATATACTATGAATGAAAGAGATATGAGCTATATTGCATATTTAGCAATCCATCAATAGAAAAAAAACCAAAGTACTATAATAATGTTTTGAGTTCTACTTTTTTCCTTAGTCTGTTAAATAAAGGTTGATCACAGAAACACATTCGTGAATTTGTAGTAATAAAATCAGATTGTAATGCCCTGCCAACGATAGTAGAGGGGTATGTCCTGTCCATATGTCACTTATCAAGTTTTAAAGGATATGGAAGTTTGTAGTAGCATCAACTTGGAACTTAGTACACATGGTATTATGCAGTAAACTTTTTAATGTATATGTCAAATTAGGGTTGTAAATGAACATGGAAGTGTGATGGTGCAAGTGGGGCTTGTCCTATGGAGAAATATTCTTGATAGGTTATGTAATAATTTCATTTTATTTTTATATGCCCGTCAAAGACGGGATGTATTATGGTATCTTAATGTCCATCTGTCAACACTTCCTACAATAACTCAAGTTA